GCAAATACATAATTATTAGAAAAAGCGTGTCTCCTATCCGATATTTATTTTCTTTATTCTCTTTACTCTTATAGTCAGTTATTGTACGAAGGAAGTGTAGGTACATCCTTTCCGAGGTGCACAGATCTATCATCAATAATTGCGATAAAAATGTAGATATTGTCAAAAAAAATATCGACATCTTCAACTTGACTTGAACCCAGGAGATCATGGTCGCCAACCTATAATATAGGAATAACCTTTTATTTATGTAGGGAAATGCATTTACGCAGATGGTTATGTGTGTGTGACTCACCGGCTAATACCAGTACTACCCACTAAAACCCAATAAAACCTTCCCCGTCTTAATGTGGCGTCTCAGAATCGTTTACGCACTAAACCTCGATGGAAGCCCGACAGCAGGCCTGCCGAAGCAGACCACAACAACAATGGGGTTGCTCCAACGGTCCATTCTGCTGTCAGAGAAGTACCATGAACAACCCGCATGGTACACCGCCCACCGAAGTGGGCCACCTACCTGTGCGTTACTTGACTTCGCGCCTGGCTGAACTGCCGGACGCTAAAGAGCCCCCAAGGGACCAAAAATTCAAGGGACCAAAAATCTCTTAAAATCTAGTACCTAATAAGGTAGTAAGTAGATATCTTAAAATTAGTTAATTAAATATATTTAATATTAATTACTATCGTTATTTTGTATAACAATATAAATTAAAAATTGCTGGGTCAAAACAAGGTAGCGTGTAATCTGAAACTACACGTACAGTGGATAATGGATATACGAAATATGTATTGATTTATTGGTTCCAAGCGAAAATAATTATATTCACTGTAAGCTTTAAGCCTCTTGTATCTGTTATATAAACAAGGTTTTTTTAATAATGGACATTTTTATAATCAAATATAGTTATTTCAATATTTGTATGTTTTAGATTTAAATATAAAATGTTTGTTTGCGTTGATGTTTAGGACATTAATATTTTTGGATAAAGGAAACTTTCCATTGAGATAAAAAATATCTGAAAATTCTAGCATTACGTTCTTAATTTTCCTATTCGAATTTCTAATAAATAATTTATGTACTATGTTGGCACCCTTTTCTTTCATCCATTTTGCGTGTAAAACTTCTTATCTTAACCATTTTTATTTTAATACAAAAATAATGTCTCATAAATTGGAATATTAATAAAAATTGCCAGTTATTTTATTGGTCATAATACCACACATGGAGTCCACATAAACCAACAGCTATAAAAATAAATGGTTCTCAGTTACAGGATGTTTAATGGTATCAACAAATGATAAAGAGAATTCGCAAAATATTCTAGTTTTAATAGATTGTATGAAGTCAAGTCGCTTTTCACGTCTGTCTGTTTGTGCACTACTTCTTCTATTAAAAGAGCATTGCCATTTAAAAACTATTTTAGGTCTACATATACATATATTTGTAACTAGTGGCTTATGCTTTCTCCAATCAGGTGGACTCCAGGGCAAGGAGATTATTCTTTCTGGCTTAAGTCACAAATATTACCATATAGGTAGATAGTTTTTGCAAAGTTTTTATAAAGTAGACTACGATCTTCCTAGATATCTTTAATCGGTGAACACTGTATGAAAATTCATAACTACAGTAGTTTTTGATATTAACCCGAACAAACACAAACTCAATTTTATTTTATAATATGTAGTGATACATTCATATTATAGTTATAGAAAATTAAGGATTTTTGATGTGTTCAAGGGAAGCCGTCAAGCTAAGCGAGTGCGGTATGCTTACGTTCTAAACGTAAAAGGTACCTACCTAGAGACCCAAGCAAAGCGTAGTTGATGCACTAATTACTAAGTTGTCTTCGCTTCACTCTCACTAGTCACTACCATTCGGAATTCATACCAAAAAACACTTGCATTTATCGTTTAACGCGAGTTTTTTTTCCTCCTGCCATAGGCATAAGTGGTCTGTTTATATCTATATATTTAAATCAAATCCTTTACCCACCAGTGGACATTTTGCTAATATTGGCTCAGTTTTTTTATCTATATTGCCATCACGGACATAAACTTCAATTTTAACTAAAGGGCAAAGAAATATTAATTTTTTATAATATTTTTTTCTCTGATATTGTAACTAAATATGTTTAAAAAATATCAAATATTCTACGGCATGTTTAAAAATTTCGCTCGTCATCTGAAAATTTTGAGAGTAAAAAGCGAATATTTTCCGAATGAAACTGAAAACATAACATTTCAAAGGATTTTTTCAATGACACCTTCCGTGTTGGGGCGCGAGATGAGACAATTGCTTCGTAGGTGTATACGACATACATGTTTTGGTAGGCATTTTTTATACTTGAATATTTTCTTTTAGCGAAGAACTAAAGTTCATCCTTAGAAACCTGGGTATCTTTGTTCTCATTGTGAAGTTTAAAATAATTTGTTATACTTATATTACTAGATACCTTTTGTATTTATATTATTACTAGCGAATTACTCTTTATTCGCTCGGGTGCATCCTTATATTCCCTGTTATTGCGGACTTTTTTGTAGGCCTTCTTAAGATCTACAATTTTTGAGTACATTGTTTTGTTGTATCACTAAAGGTTTAGCCAGCGTTAGCCATGTAATCGTATGAAAAAAGTTTTTTCTGTCTAGGTTCCGTCATTTTGTACAAATTATATCCACAAACCTTCCTCGTTTATCTCTCTTTATATTTGTGAACCGTACCAAAATCCGTTGCGTGGCTTAGAAGCAGTGAGCGAAACAGAGAGACGCAAACAACGTCTTTGTTTTATAATAGGTATGTATAGATATATAGGTAGCGCCACCATTTTGGCTTTTATTACTAACAGTGGCTTATATGTTACTTTTGGTCATAATCTATCTATCAAATATTATATATATATATATATATATATATATATATATATATATATATATATATATATATATCAAAATTCGTCATGAAGTTCAGCTTTTCGTTAAGGTGTAACAAACAAGCACACATACAAATTTTCGCATTTATAATAGTAGTGAAATAAAACACAACTTCTGTCTGTCCGTTTGTTCGTTTATGACTCGAGAAACATCTATTTTATATAATATTTATTTTTGTATCGAAGAACGTTATCGGATTCCGTAAATGAGGTAATTATGCAGTTTGAGGACCTTTCCGTAATATTATGACTGGCATATTTTTTGCTACTTGATGCTTTTTGGCCTCCGTTAGTTATATTTCGATGAGAAATGCTGACATTTTTAGGGTTCCGTACCAAAGGGTAAAACGGGACCCTATTACTAAGACTCTGCTGTTCGTCCGTCTGTCTTCTGTCATATAAAATAAATATTTAAGGGGGCTCCCATACAACAAACGTGATATTTTGCCGTTTTTATAGGTAATGGTACGGAACCCTTTGTGTGCGAGTCCGACTCGCACTTGTTCTTTATTATCTTAAGTTTCCGGATACACATGATAAAAGGAGAGGGAAACGTTCATAGTGCTTATTTGAAGCGGACCCAGTCTTGAGTTGATCGTCTTATTTTATTCTAACATTGCAACTGGCAAACCGAAGTTGTTTGCTGTTCTGTTCTCCTGCTCATAAAGCCACTATTATACTAGGAAGTTCAGCGTTATGGTTACATAATACTACTCACGGACTCTATCGTATTTGATATCATTTATCTGGTATATATAACACAGGCCTCGGAACTTATCATGAAACTAGATAGTGCTGTGTTAATGTTCCAACATATTTGTTATTTACTAGCGACTCACCCTCGCTTCGCTCGGGTTCCTTTCTAGGTTGATCCCCATTTTCACCCCTTTAAGGGATGATTTTCGTGATAAAAACTACCCTATGTTATTACCAGGCTCTCAAAACTATCTTCTTACTAAATTTCATCTAAATCGGTCCAGTAGTTTCGGAGCCTATTCAGTACAAACAAAGAATCTAATCTTTCCTCTTATAATATTAAGTATAGATTTATTATCCAAATTTGTTTCAATAAAATCTAATAAATAATCAAGTAACGATTATGGTCCTCCAATTTATTGTTATGAAATGTAAGTACTTTAATTAAAAAGATATCCCCTCAAAATGAATAAAAAAAATAATAAACTTTGTATAAGAATCACTGACATAAATCGATTAAACCGTTTCTGTATCGTGTAATGTCCTATTTACTTTACTGAAAACGTTCATCAGAACGCCGATCTTGTGTGCGATAAATAAAATTAATGATTTTCAGGCATTCAAAAATACTGCTTATCTTTGATAACTTTTTAATGGGGTTCAGAATTTTTAGAGCGTGTATCGAGGAAAATATGATAAATAGTACAAAATATATTTTTTGTCATGTTCTTATTTATTTTAATAAAATAAGCAGTAAACATTTATTTCATAAGAAATATGTGTAGGTATGTAATGTATGTCGTCGTTAAATATTTTTCTTTATTATGTTTGTGTGTTTAATCTACGAGTATACCTACATATAAAAAAATTGTAGCTAAGCCGAATCTGTACATTAGATATTTTTTGGAAAATCTTATTGAAATAAACATTATTATCAATACAGAGGCCGAATCTATAGTTTTTAGAATTTTTGTCTGTCTGTCTCTCTGTCTGTTACCACATCACAAGAAAACTACTTACTGGAAAGATTTTGATGAAATTTGGTATGATGATAGCTGGTTATCCGGGTCAACATATAGGATACTTTTTACCTCCCATAATATCCCATTTCTGAAAATAAATATTAAAATTATAATGTAAGAGTATACTAATATGTAAAACCTAAGAATTTGGTTTTTGGTCATCTGAACGCGGGCGGAGCCGCGGTCAATACTAGTACAAAATAAAATTATTATCAAATAAAATGTTTTGAAAAAATTGTTATTATGTTAAGCCCAGAATTTTTAGGATAAGAGTGTAAATGAATACTAAGAAAATAATATGAATTGTTTGTCGCAGTAATGGCAGAATGATGGAGCAGCAAGCGTAGTGGGCGGCATGGCGGGCATGCCCGTGCTGGGCAACAGCGTGGGTGCGGGCGAGCTGCGCGAAGGTAAGTTGGCTACAAGTACGAGTATATGTATATGTAACTGATGGTAAACTCATGATAATACTTTTGACTAATAAATTAATGCAGGATTTAAACAAAAAAAATTAAATATATACTTAGATAAATAAAAAAAGTTTTTTACAATTATTATTATTAACAGATAGTAAAATATTCGTGCATTGAAAGTGATTGCCAGGAAAATAATAATGTAGCATAGAGTAAGAAATAAAAATGTGTATTATAGATTTTATTGTTAGACAATTAATCAGTTGTATTAATTAGGAAAATGGAACTAAAGTTTGGAAATGTAAAATTGCAGACAATATCTTGTCTAGTTATAATAAAATTTATTTACCGTACCCTACATTTTTCCGGAATAAAAAATAATCTATATGCTATTCCAGTCTATAATCTATCTCTGTGCCAAATTTCATCCGAATCCGTTCAGCCGTTCTGACGTAATTGAGTAACAGACATCCATCCAGCCATCCTCACAAACTTTAACATTATAATAATATTAATAGTATTAGTATATATAGTATATTATACGTATTATATAATATTATATATTGTTTTGTGATGTATATACATAAGTACATAATATAAACTAGGCTGCTACGCAGCTACGAGCGCTACGGTTCTACGCAGCAAACAATCTGTACAATGTAAAAAAACCATATCTTACTATGAGTAATGTCATAAATGTGAAAGTTTAGATGTTTGGATGGATGTTTGTTACTCAATCACGCCAGAACGGCTGAACGGATTTTATGACGGAAAAATATCTCGTGGGATAGAATTGTTTTTGTTTTATAAAAAATAGAGATATTTTGATGATTTTATCATACACAGCGACTCACCCTAGCTTCGCTCAGGTTCGTTCCTAGCTTGCCTACCAATACAAACTTTCATTCCCATTTACACCCTCTTAAGGGACGATTTCCGGGATAAAAAGTATCATGTGTCTTTCCCAAGGTCTTAAACTACCTTCTTGCCAAATTTCATCTAAATCGGTTTAGTAGATCCACAGATCACCCTCTACAACGTCACAAGCTCACAAATTTAACCTCTTTATAATATTATATGGTAAGGTATAGTATAGATTACTGTATATTTTTTATGTGTAACCATGATGTAATTTAAATGTAAAATATTGAAATTGTATATTTAATTATAACGATACTTGTAGGTTTTCAAAATTTCATGATCACCTCCAATATTAATATAATGTTAAACAAGATATTTATCATGTTTAGTACTTACTTTTGAGAGTACCCGATATTTCGGCACTGTTACAAGCGCCATGGTCACGGGTATACTGATAATTTTGCAGGTGGATGTTTTTTTTTATTGGTAGACATATCTAGACATATCTATCTAGTATCTATCCCCTTCTACACGTTTTGTGCGTCCATTATCAATATCACTAGGACATATCACATATGACGCTTGTACTAACTCGATTGGAGTCTCGGCACAGGACACACTGTATCCAGCGAACTTTTACTCATACTTCTACGAGGTTGACACATTTTATTTACTACTTCATAAAACCATATTATTTTTAAAATTAAATGAATAAACCGAATGCGTAAAAAGTGAACTAACAAGATAGGAACAAGTTGAGAAAGGAGCATAGTATTATATATAGGTAGGTATATTTGTTTAATTTAACTTTTTATTTACACCTTTTTAGCCAGTTATTATAGCCAGTTAGAAGTTTGGACTTTTATTTAACAATCTCTTACTCTAAATTACTTTTAAACATACATATACATAGTATGAATATCTGTGCTAGACAAAAATCAACTGTTGAACTTTTCTGTAATCCTTTCTCGAGTTCTTATTTACAAGTTAATTTTGAAATCTGCAAGACTTATCAAATTGTTCCACTCTACGTGAGATCAAATAGACTTAATCGCCGTTCATCGATTCTGATTCTCGCTTGGTTATACTGTGCTCTTTCTATGAAATAATTTGTTAGAGGTATTAAAAATGCTTTCTAATGTCTTATTTTAAAAAATAAAGACTAACCTATTCTTGAGGACAGTTTGAATTACATATTCCTATTTATTAAATTTGATTATCAAGATCTACACTAAAAACATCTACTCAAATATATTTAATCTATATCAGTATTACGTAATTAAAATTCAGTAACTTCCAATCGAATAATTTAGAAATACTTTAATCAAAGTATTCAAAAAAGATGCGATATTTAAAAAAGTATCGTAATATACCCTCTACAACTCTGTTTTTTAAACTTCCTAAGTGATTCTAACTTTCTCGTTATCTACAGAAGGCCATTTCATCGTAGAAAATACACTGTCAACCTGTCAATGGTCGGAGAAATTAAAATATTAGATGATGTAGATATATCTTAATCACTTTATAGTTAGATAGATTTATTGATCAACACATAGTAAATATATTTTTCTGTTGAATTATAATTTTAATTTGCATAAACTTATTGGTGGCTTTTTATTCATGTTTGTAAATTACAAAATAAATGCTGAATTTAATTAAATACCTTAACACGTGCAAGGTCAGGAGTAATCGTTAAAATTACCATATATACCATTGATTGAGCGAAACAGGTTCTAAGACCAATTTCAAGCAAATGTGATGACAAATAACAGCCTTCATAAATAAATGTGAATTATATTATGCAACTAGCGACTCACCCTCGCTACGCTTGGGTTCGCCCCTAGGTTAATTCCCCATATAAACTTTCATCCTCATTTTCACCCCCTTAAGGGATGATTTTCGGAATTAAAAGTAATCAATATCCTTCCTAGGATCTCAAACTATCTTCTTACCAAATGTCACCTAAATCTTTTCAGTAGATCTAGAGATTATCCCCTACAACGTCACAAACTCACAAACTCACAAACTTTACCTCTTTATAATATTAGTATAGATATATTCAAAATGAGTGATTATTTAAGTTTAAAATTCAATAAATGTATCTAATTAATTATTATGATACTGCAAGTAGTTAAACGTTATGATTCGAATCATAGACGAATATAGGTACATGATTTTAAGTAACAAGGGTTCCTATAATATATCCTATCAGCAGTACAAAAGATGTACTGCGCCGACCCCAAGTGATTGGGAAATGGGCAAAGAGAAGAAGAAGAGGTTCTAAGTAACAAGAGTATTGACTTCTTTTGGGTTACGTTGCTGTGTAACAGTAGCCTATGTATTACTTTAGCAGATTGGTATCCAAATCCGGTTTCAAGACAGCTTGTATAATATCTAGTCTCAATGATGACGATATAACGATATTGTGTATGATAATGATATTGCAATACATTTTCTTTCGACGACACGTTTGGCTCAGTTTGTAGTGATCCTACTTGCTGTGCCAGCGGTTGCGAGTTCGAGTCCCGCTGGGGGCAATCATTTGTGCGATGAGCACGAATGCTTGTACTCCAGTCATGGGTGTTTATATTTATAATATGTATGTATTTAAAATTATATGTGTGTAGTGTATCAACTATCTGGTATCCATAACACAAGCTTCGAAGCTTACCATGGAACTAGATGGTGCTGTGTGTTAAAGTCCCAACATATTTATTTTATTATTTATTTTCTATTCCATTATTAGCGGAAATGCAGTTTTGGGAAAAGGGGTAAGATCACCAACACTTAACAACAACTTATTATTTATTTATCTGTAATATTTCTCTTCTTCATAGTACAACTTCTTTGGGGTAAAATCTGATCAAACATTTTTGTTTAAGCTGGAACTCGAATTCTAGAATTTCAAGGTCCACAACATCACCATCATCAATACGACTTGCTCTTAAAGGACGGAGTTCTTAACTAGGTTTCAGTTTATAATTAATTTTAAGTCATTTCGTATCATTGTTAAAATTCGGTTAGGTTTCAAAGAACCGCGATTTGGAGTTTAGATATTATTTCTTCATTGTTTAATTTTACTTAATCTTGATAAATCAAGTGTAAAATGTCAAGATTGTTAAAATACTAGCTAGCTGGGTAGAGTTTAAGATCTCTTTTGCAATTTCTGAAGTACGAATATAACGTTTATTAAATTCGACGACAGCGAATATCTGCAGAGTTCAGATTTTATAATTTTCCTTTATTGGCATCATATTTTAAATCAACTTAGAACTCTTAGAAGTGATTACACATAAATAAACTACGCGAGCGGATCTACGGGCAAATAGTATAACTAAATATAGTATAAATAATTTATATATTTGCGCACCTTGTTGCAGATGCCAGCAACAGGTCCTCCAGTAGTGGATCTCGACGGGGCTCCTCCCCACAAAGGGGGCAGGTATGTCTAACCTTAGACAGATTGGCTAGTAAAATAAAAGAGAAATAATATCGGGATTTTGTGTTTTAACAAATTAAATATTTCCAATTTATAACTTTAAAAAGTATTTATTATATTACTATATAAATCAGTTGTTTAAGTTTTGTAAGTTATTATAATAGGTACGAGTAAAATGTACAATAGTAGAAAATACTTTGGCAGAAAGTTGAAGAATTTCTCAATAAATTTATTTAACTAATTATTCATTAATTATTTTAAATGTATTTATCTATTTTGTAAACACAATTAAGATGTTCTTGTATTAGGAGCAAGAGGTGGACGTCAGCTGTCACCGACCAGACCTCACCAGCTCACTACCGTCCCGAACTCACCCCACTAGCTATGAACGGGACTACAGCGAAAAAGTTTCTACTGTGGTAATTTATACTACATATGTTTTAAAATTATTATTTTACATACTGTATAAGTTTTAAAATTATTATTTTACATACTGTATAAGTTTTAAAATTATTATTTTTCCGCACTATATTGTTACTTACTGACAAAAGTTTATCTGTTTATTGCAAAATGTGAAAAAAAACACTAATAAAAAATATTTTTACTCTGTGCCATAAGCGCAGGCTAATCCTAAATAAAGGAGTAATAATAATAATAACAAAACGTTTTTAATCTAGGCAACACTCAGTGGCGCAAGTGTGGTAACTCATACTGCGCCTTCATACGAAGAACAACGAGCGAGTCCAGCTCTGCTTAATAGGAACGCCGGGGGAACCCCCGGTGGTAGAAGTGTTAGGGACGATGGATATTGTTCTGCTGGAAGCACACCGCGTGCTTTAGGTAAGTATATTATATATTTTAAACTATTATAAACTAAATCAAATAATTCTTTATATCCACATTACAAAAGGACTGTAGAGGAAAAATACTTTTTGTAAAGCTGCTGCCTTTAAAAAATTTGTGGCAAAATATTAAACAAGTTTTAGTTGAGTGTGAAAAATCGATTCTCACTAAAAATGCTTGGAAAAGGGTCTGATCATGAAAGCGTCTGAATTTTAATTTGAATTGTGAAAATGATATTACTAAATTATTCTTTTCATGTGAAAGGGTATTCAGCTATATACGAGTAAAAATGTCTAAAAAAATATCTGTTGAATAACGTCGCTTGTTCATCATTAATTTTATGATCTGATACGTGTTGAAACTTTATAAATTCCATTTAAATCGAGCTTAATATTTTATAGCATAGATCATGTTGACTTGAAGGCATCTATCGTTTGCAGCTAAAGCGCATAGAGCCGTGATTTATTGATGTCACGTACTCAAAAAAGTTCAAGCGAGCTTAAAGATAAATCATACGATTTTAGCAGTAATTTTTAGAGTTTGTGAAAATGCAATGTTTTGTGCAGATTCGTGGTTGTGATGTAGGTGTAGATTTATTGATAACCAAATCAGTTGATTAGATTTGGTTTACACTATGAATATGTGTGTAATATGAGTTTGTGCATAATTAAAATTATTGCTTGAAACATACAAATAGCACTAAGTAGCAAGTTTTGTGCAATAAAGAATATAAGTAGGCCATTATTTATTAGAACATATTGATTCCATTGATTTGCATGTGTTGCTTGGCACAGTAACCCCTTGGCAATTATTTCCCGCCATTCTTTAAATTCAATAGACACTGTCAAAGTTCGAGCGTCCCTTAACAGGTCTCAAAAGTTTTCCCCCCCAACGTGCGTTCACCTTGTCGTGGTGGGGGGGCTCAGTAGTGCCCGGCAATCCAACCGGGCGCGAAGCTAAGAAACGCACAGGGAGGTGGCCCTCTTCGGGGGGCGGTGTACCATGCGGGTTGCTCCTGGTACTTCTCTGATAGCAGAGTGGACCTTGGAGCAACCCCATGGCTGTGGTGGTCTACTTCGGCAGACCTGCCGTCGGGGCGTCGTAGTTGAATGCGTAAGCGATCCTGCAACGCCCCATTAAGACGGGGGAAGGTTTTGTTGGGTTTTAGTGGGTAGTACTGGCTGTATTACGCCGGTGAGTCCCACACGTCGTGCGTAAATGCATTTCCCAACGTTAAAAAAAAAAGGTCTCAAGAGTTTTGTATTTAACTTTCAAGTATTCAGATGTACACGTTTTATGTAATAAAGTTCGACAAGTAAAATTGACATTCAATTCAATAATATTTAGGAATATAGGAACATAATATGAGTCTATAGTATGTAGTAAAAATAGCTAATAAGCTTGTTAGGCGACTTAGCAAAGCTCTATCGAATATAAAACTTATTCAAAATAGAATATATTTAATAGATACTTTTTTTAAGTGCTGGTACTGACCTCAAAAAAATTTTAGTCCCCTAATTTTTAACGTACCTACTTTTGATTTCGTTTTTGTTGGTTAATTTAGTATATATATTATTTCATAACTTGCAATTAATTTTTTTGTGAAGTTGTTTTTTTTTAAATAACTTTTTTATTGATTTAAGTTGTAGTATTTATGTATACAAAGTAATGTATTCAATACGAGGTGGAAAACTTGCTAGGTTCTCTCAGACATCCAAGTTTGCTTACAATGTTTTCCTTCACTGTAAGACAAGTGGTAAATCATGTTGGTAATGATGATAATATCTAAGGTGCGAGACCCGGGATTTGTCAAGCGAGCGCGTTACCACTGCAATTGCTACCATAAAAAGTAATATTATTATAATATGTTTCCTTAAAATATTTAAACTATAATAAGTTGTATTTTCTTTAATAAAATATACACTAAATAAGTTTTACGATATTTCACTGCATTCGTAGAGTTAGTTCGTACGTACGTACGTACGTACGTAGTTACTTAGCCTACGAGATACACAAACATCTTGAAGGACAGACAAGAGGCAATAAGTTTTATCCTTCACGTCAGTACAATCTTGTAAGGAAAGAAGGAAAGAAAATAATCGATTTTTATGTCAATATTATTTTAAAAGATATATACATATAAATATCCAATTTTTTAAAAACGGAACCCCAAGCAAGTGCATTTAGAAAATTGGAGTGCCTTGAATAGTGTAAATATTACTTGAGTAATCCAAGATAGCAATAATTAAAATAAATTTAAAACTGCTGTTAAAGTTGGTTCTAAGAGATTACACGACACTAATAAGTAGTAGAAATGCGAAATGGTGAGTGTCATTGATACTTATTCACGCTATAATGGCCAATGGATTTGTTCGTGTGGAATATAGATAGCATACAATCCTAGTTTAACATATATGTCATCATCACATCTCCCTGCCCATTTCTCAATCACTCGGTGTCGACGCAGTACATCTTCCGTAGTGCTGATAGGATTTGGCAAAAGTTTTACGAACGGCCGAATCTGTTATCCATCCTCCTTGGGAATTGGTTTAACATATATGTACATATGTATGTAACATAATTGATTAACGTTAATATCTTGTAAGCGTGGAACCAGATTAAAACTAGTATTTTAATAAAGCCATGTAGAATCGATAGTTCTTATATTTTAGAAGCAAGTATATAAAAAATGTACAAAAAAACTTATATTTTAATCATGTTTTAATTAAAAATAAATTCACTCCATCAAATTACGCGTAAAGAAATGCTTTATCCCTTAATATTAATCAGAAATTGTTCGAGACTCAATTATCTGAGTTCCATTGATACCATTCAGCACCTCAGATGGAATTTTTTCGCATCGGCATGCCATTATAGGGAGGATGCCGACGATATTAAGATCGGTGCATGAACTGTCGTTCTATTCTTGCGGTCAGGTATGCTCGTATTGGGTTTGAGGATGGGAGATTAAAGATAATGATCTAAGTTAGAATATAAAAGGTTTTTAAGGTTAAACTTTTTCTTTTGTTAATAAAACGTAAAATATTTGTACATCAAATAGGTACATGTACAGAACGTTTTATATATTATACGATTTAATAAGTAAACATTAAAAATTTTGTGCGATAATTTCGCATTTATTTAAATTTAAAGTTATAAGCATGAAATGTAAGCATAGAATTTTAATATTTTTTTCAACTTTATTGTTCTAAGATCTTTTTAAATTGTTCCAGAGCACAAATCTACCAAAGGATCAGTAGTTACATTATCATGTTATAAAAGTAAGTACATACGAGTAGGTACGTATTGATGAGATTAGATTTATCTAGTGGTTGTTTACAAAACTAACGACTGCGATTTACAATATTCCATACTAAATAGTGACACTAACAGTTCTATTTACTTTATTGCGTGTGAATACTTTAATTTATTCTTTTATATGTAAAACATTATTTTTTGAAATAAACGAACATACAAAATACCAACAAAGCTCAATGTTTTAGGATAGATTATATGATAATCTCAAATATTTATGGAAATTATAAATATACATATATATAAAACAAATGTACACTTAATTATTACTGTACACGTCATTTCCGTGGAATACTGGCAAGAATGCTAGCCGCATTCCCCTGCTGAATGGCAATGGCAATTCTATGGGCGAAAAACGAGCGAGCTGTTCTGTCAACAGTAGAGGCGATAAGACGAGGTGTTATATCTTTTAAGAAGTGTTTAGCACTTTTACTTCATGGGCCAAGGGTTTCTGGAGCAAATAATGATTGAATCAATATTTATTGTTTCTCATAATAAACTTTTGAGTTTGTAACATTCTCTCTTTGATCAAGTATTTTTGTATGATGTGTACAGCTATAATATTTATCATATTTCTAAAATTCTAATATTATGTTATATCTTAGTTACTTTGTCTTACAGAGGAGCCTAAGATTAAAATTGAGGAAGAGGTATACTACAGTGAATCTTCTAAAAGAGTCCGAGGCAACAGTGTTGTAAAGCCTGGTTAGTTATAAACTCATGATTTAATAATTAATAAGTTATTATAAATAATAAGAAAATTAATAACAGTAATGATGTAAATAATGTTTAACTATATCGAGATAGCCATTATTCCGGCATATACCACACACTAGTAGAGCCGCGGCCAAAATGTATAGGAAATCATAGTTTGTCGTTTCATCGTTAGATCTGGCTAAATTCGAACTAATATCGAAATAAAAATAATACTTTTTTTTAATTTCGCCTCAATCGGGTAGTTATGTGTAAATATGTACAATCTAAATAATTAAGAAAATTAAATAAATAAATGTATAATTAGTAATTACACCTAAACTTAACGTTTAATAAGGACTACAGTTAAAAGTTATAAAATGTTTTTATGCTTTTTAGAAATAAACGATGGACGTGAAACGTGGGGTACCGGCGCGGATTTTCTTCTATCTATCATCGGTTTCGCCGTGGATCTGGCTAACGTTTGGAGGTTTCCTTATCTTTGCTACAGGAATGGCGGTGGTGAGTCAATTATTTAGGGTTTAATAGTTTTTTTATTGAATGTTTAATAAATAGCGACTTTAAATTCTTTTCTCCAAATTTCGTTCTGTTCGGACAGGTGTGTATAAGATATTGGCGATAGAAGTAATGTTAAATAAAACTTATTTTTATATTTACCATAGTCTTAGGAGTAACTGTTTGCTGTAATGTTTTAAATCGAAAAAGGTAATCGTTGCCGTGGTCGTAGCGCTTGGTACTAAATTATTCTACTATATCACACTTCTACGGTTCGCTATTTGCTATACTTACTATACTTTAGGTTCTCCGCAAGTGCTATCATATAGTTTAAATATATGTATGCAATATGTTTAGATACAAAGAATATGAGAAAAATGACAACAAAATACATACCTGTTACAATAAAATTACATTTTGTTGTCATATTTTTCATTATTTACTTCGGTAATTTGATTACATGCTACGAATACTTCATAGGTTTTTCGAACGGTTTTCCGTAGAGTGGTATTAGACAGGTTTTCTGATTTATAATATCCTATTAAATAATGTTTGAATGTGCACAAATCGAAAAAGCTTATTATTATTTTTAACCGACTTCCAAAAAGGAGAAGGTTCTCAATTCGTCGGAATCTTTTTTTTTTACTATCAATAAATTTTAATCAACAATTATAGAGGTAAACTGTTTTTTTTTATTGTTTCAGGGGCGTTTCTCATTCCATACATGCTAATGTTAATATTCGGTGCGGTGCCTCTTTTTTATATGGAATTGATACTGGGACAATATAATCGGCAAGGTCCGATCACATTATGGAAAATCTGTCCGCTCTTTAAAGGTATCTTTTAACTTTGATCTTGTAACATAATATTTAAAAAAGTGAACTGTCAAAATACTTGTTATTCTGTATTTCTTCTTTAATGTTTTATTAATAACTGTTGAAAATTACAGGTGTTGGTTTCTGTGCTGTAATGGTAGCTTTTTACGTTTCCTTTTACTACAATGTCATTATTGGTAAGCATATCATACATCTAATAATTGTATTATAATCTATGTTGTTGGGACATTAACACACATCACCATCTAGTTCCATGGTAAGCTACGAGGCTTGTGTTATGGATACCAGATAGTTGATACACTACACATATTATGTACATAACTTTAAATACATCCATACTAATATTATAAATGTGAAAGTGTGTTTGTTTGTTTGTCCTTATTTCACGTCGAAGCGTAGAAGCGGATTGGCGTGTTTTTTTGTGTGCAGATAGTTTAAGAGCTGGGGAGTGACATAAGCTACTTTTAACCGCGGAAGATTATCCATTTCCCACGGGAAAACAAGTTATATTACAATCCAAAAAAATATTTATGATCAGAATTACTTGAAACTTGGTATTAGTGCTCTTCAATAAAATTAAATAAATACGTGTTTTAGAATTTTTCGAAATTCATTCTATAAGGGGATAAAATAGGGGATGAAAGTTTGTACGAAACTACCTTTTTAGTTTTTTTTTGCAGTTTTAGCGCAAGCGAAGCCGCGGGGTCTGCTAGTACATATTATAAATATAAACACCCATGACTAGAGTACAAACATTCGTGCTCATCACACAAATGAATGCCCCCAGCGGGACTCGAACCAACTGAGCCAAATGTGTCGTCAATATAGCTTGCATATTTCAGACTTTAATTTTACTTAATCAAATTATTAATTAATTTAGCTTATCAAAGTAGAAAACAATACGAACACTGTTGTTATGTCAATCCGACATTGATATCTCGAAGTCGGCTTCTTGGCATTCATCCAGTCAATTAATTTAGCAAACATAACTCGACTAATGATAGAATGCACTTAAATTATGTCCAATCTATTGCAAATTAATAAAATCAGTTTTTTAATAGTAAAATTTTTTATTTATAAATTAATTTTATTTATTAATAAATACATATGTTATAATCAAATAAATAAAAATATATAATACTAAAGTTTATTGATTTTAGTATAAAATGAAATTGTATTTTTTTGATGTTGGATTTTCATAACTATATGTTTTGAGCTCCCAATATGTCGAATCTTGGCCGCCAATTATAGTCACGGGTAAATTTTAGAACGTTTCCTGCCATAAAAATAATGTTAATGGCAAAGAAAAAATACTATACATCATATATTTACTACTGATTATTGTAAGCTCGGCTATCTCATACATCGGGGGTAGTTTTAACAGTAAAGCAAGTTTTTAGAAGAGTGAGTATAAAAACAGTGACTTGCGTATAGCATAAAAAAGATATAAGGGATGAGAGGAATATAAGATAACTTGAATGTAAAAACTTGCTAAGTCAAATCTCGAACTTCAATTTATCCTAAGTTATCTACTCTGTGTAAATATATAATTCGACTGGTCAAATTTGAGAAGTTCTATTCTAAAATAGCAAATACTTTTGTAGCAGAAAAAACAAGAAATTGTATTTGAATTTATTTTAGAATGTTGTGTGTTCTTAAGAAAAAATTTCAGGATTATCTACAGAACTTGGCACCCATTTAGATCTCAATTCTTTTGTCGGTTAAGTCGACAACCACGCATATTCTTAATATTGAACTTGACTCCCATTTTCACATTTATGTTTTTGATGAGATATGTATGTGCATATAAATAAAATTTAAGTGTCTATGCAATGAATGTTTACGTGATTTCAAAATAAATGTTTTCTCAGGTCATAGTTATTTATTTGATGATACCAGTACTTGAACAACCCTTTTTTTTAAATTGTCTGCCTGTCTTCCCATTTGTCCGGTGTAATCTTTGGAATGGCTTATCAGACATGAGACTTTCATTGAAAGATAGATATGTTTGTAGGACTACATATAGGGCATGTTTTATTTCGGAAATATTTAGGATTCCAATGCCAAAATCGGAAGCCCTAAAAATTAGGAAGTACTAAATTCTAATACGATTTTATCGTTTTTTGCTCGAAGTAAAGTAATTTTACATACAAATTCGTTGTTTTCAGGCTGGGCATTATACTTCCTCATATCCTCAGCCCGGTCAGAGCTCCCGTGGCTACACTGCGACAACTCCTGGAATACAGAACAGTGTTGGGACGCGGCGAGATTGAACGCTACGAACAGAACGGAAATCCCTTACCAAGGACCTTTGTCGCATTTCACACCGGCTTCTGAATTTTTCCAGTACTTTCTCTTCAATTAATGTCTTACAAAAACCAACACACATAGTGTTAGTTTTAGTTCTCATTTTAAGCAACTCCAAAATGGAAGAAATATTAGAAATATACCTCTTTATATTATTTTCTACTATTTTTCTCTTTATATTATTTATAACAAAATTAGATAACTTCTTAAAAGAAAATATTTTACTTTATTTTATATTATTATAAAAAAAGTCTCCAATTGACTTACAAACCTTTGACCCTACAATATGACATGACGAAATTATAAGGGTTCCGTTTATACCTTTGGCGCGGAACCCTAAAACTTGTAGAATTAATTTTACAAATACACATTACGAAATATATTAAGTACATAATAACACCTTTTAAATTGTTAATTTTAACTAGAAATTATAGTTCTACTTTTTGTAACAAAAAAATTATTTTCCAGCCGAGCGGTCCTCGAGATGCAATACTCTGAAGGACTAAACGACTTAGGCTTTCCAAAATGGCAACTTGCACTTTGTTTGGGTGTTGTGTATATTACACTATATTTATCGCTGTTCAAAGGTGTTAAAAGTTCAGGTAAAATGACAATTATAATATTATTATTTTTTTAATATTTATTTTGTAAAGTGTTATTTTCATGTGCGAATCATTTCCAACATGATTACCACTTGTCTTAACGGTGAAGGAAAACATCGTGAAGAAACCTGCATGTCTGAGAGAACCTAGCAAGTTTTCAAAAGACATGTGAAGTCCGCTAACCCGCACTTGGCCAGCGCGGTGGACTATGGCCTAACCCCCCTCGTATTGAAGGGAGGCCCGTGCCCAGCAGTGGGACGTTAAAAAAAGGGCTGAATACAAAACTCATTTTGACGGCCGAGTCGTACGTAAGAGAATTAAATAGTCAAAAAATGTAGTCTCCACTTAAAAATATATTAAAGTAGCTAATAAACTTTTATATTTATACTAGCGACTCACCCTTGCTCTGCTCGGGTTCGTCCCTAGGGTGGACCACCCTTATCAGTTAGGGGTATGAAAAATAGTTTACGTCCTATTCTCAGACCTACTGAATATACACACAAAATTTCATAAGAATCGGTCAATATGTTTCGGAGTTTTGTTACAAACACTGTGACACGAGAAATTTCTTTATTAGATTTTATCTCATATTAAAATGGATGTTTAATCCAACATAAATTAACAAAAAACTGTAAAACTTACTAATTAATCGATATCAGGTTATTTATATAAAAATCAATATGTTATATTTAATTAGTTTGTATATAATTAGTACGTTACGAGTTCTATATTCCAGGTAAAGTAGTGTGGTTGACGGCGACCATGCCATACGTTGTGTTGTCGATACTTCTCGCCCGAGGGCTGCTCCTGCCAGGGGCTACTCGGGGTATCGCGTACTATTTGCACCCAGAACTCAGTAGGTTGAAGGACACTCAGGTGGGATTTATTATTATATTTATTATTGCTCTAAACAATTTAAAAAAATACGACTCTTTAAGAGATCTCTTCCAATCACCCATGTATGTGGGAAATAGTTTTAAGTAGCGGGACTGAAAGAGAAAGTGCAAAGAAACGATAAGAAAATATAATTATACAGGATATAATTATACAGGAGGATAAATAATAATACAGGAACAAAGGAACTGTCAAAAAATATACCTACTTAAATAATCATTAAAAATCACAACGTATGTTTTCAAGCAGATATATGTATTATTGATGCAGATATATTTAACAGTATTTGATCAAGTTTATTATTATTTTGTAGGTTTGGGTAGACGCTGCAGTACAGATTTTCTATTCTGTAGGAGCGGGTTTTGGCGTTCATTTGTCTTATGCGAGTTATAATACTTTTCATAATAACTGCTACAGGTGAGTGCTAAAAATTTAAATAAAAGGGCAAAACTTTAAAATTAAGTCGAGTTTGTACGGTATCGACACAGCCTCTGGACCTAAGGTGGTTTGCTATCGTAGTATTTATGTTTCACTATTGGAAACATTTAATCGACATTTTAATGTTCTTATGTAAATTATGAAAGGTGTTGAATAAATTACATAATAAACTTTGTCACAAAAATAACGTCTTATATTATATCACATATGTATACATACTAAATAAAACTATCTCTTCGGTTTTTTTCGCCGATTTATTTTGATTTTTAGTTCCCTATGTTTCGAATGCTTTACAGCAATCATTGTCACGGGAGAGACTATGGTTTTAGATGTCTCAAAGGCATTTTATAATTATTACAGACAGCTGTAAAGCATTCCAAACGACGGGAACCAATAATCTAAATAAATCCGCCCTAAAATCCGTAAAGATAGTTCTATTTAAAATGTCAAAATATATTCGCGTAAATCTAAGGAAGTATATATACATACTGTTTATTTATACATCGTACAATTTCAGGGATTGTCTTGTCACAACACTTGTGAACTGCTTCACGTCATTCTTCTCTGGATTTGTCATCTTCACATATTTGGGCTTCATGTCTCACAAGCAAGGCGTGCCAATATCTTCTGTTGCCACCGAGGGTAAGACAAATTCTTAATAAAAAATAATATTAAATTTTTTTGGAGGTCGGCGTTATTCGCTACAACACAGTTATCAACTAATGTAGTTTTTATTGTACAATCTATAAAGTTCAATCAGATTGTTCCAATAAAGATTTTTATTTTTTGTTTTTGTTAAAAGTATCGAAGTACCTAGAGTCATCCAATTTACTAGTACACATTATTTGAATCGCTCATTAAGTGTTGTAATGAACTTAAAATATGCTTTAATTTTATTCCATACTATATTTTCTTGTTTCGATAAATTAATCGATTGCTGACGCTATTTATATCTGACATTTTAAATTAAAAAAAACCTTCATATATCTAAATTAAAACAAAACTTCATATCTTTTGTTTTTCTATCTAAAACTATACTTTCTATTTCCAGGTCCTGGGCTAGTGTTCCAGGTGTATCCGGAAGCTGTGGCGACTTTACCCGGCGCCAGTCTATGGTCAATGCTCTTCTTCTTTATGTTGATCATGCTCGGGTTGGATTCAGGAGTAAGGATATCTCGAACTATTTGTTTTGCAAACCAAAATACGTGATAAAAAAGAAATAAGTATGCTGCTTTAAAGGCCTTTGTTCTAATTATTTGTGATTTTTAAAGTGCCGTATAATATGGAAATGTTTTTATTGGTGAACATAAAATTTGTATTCACTCAATAGTAACAATACTAATTGCTACCGTACTTTATACACATTATTCACAGACTAAATAATTTTATTGTTTAAAGTAAATTTTGCGGCTTGCAGCTATTAAAAATATGTAACGTATTAAAATTACTTACATCTATTTACATATAAATTATTTTTATTTACACCTTTAAATTTTGGCCAATTAGACATTTGAAGTTATATTTAGCAATTTCTTATCCTAAATTACTTTTAAACATATAAGTTGTATTTTTGTGATCGCCTCTTATTAAACCATTTATTTTGATAACCCACTCGATTGGTTTGGAAGAAAAAAATAATTAAAGACACAAATTGGCGCCTGAAAACCTTTAATTTATAACTATTTCTCTTGATGAAATAGCAAAATATATTGATTATATAGATGGGTGGTCTAGAGTGTGTCATCACTGGTCTCTTAGACCAGGCGCGTGCTTCCGGCGCGCACTGGCTGCGTCGGGAACATTTCACACTACTCGTAGTGTGCGTGTCCTTCTGTGTTGCCTGCATCAATATTACACCTGTACGTATGTTTTTGTTGTCTTTGTCAATAGGTAACTAAGAGCTTATAAAATTAATATTTTCTAGATTCTCTTAAGAATTGAAACCTATGTTTAACAAAGTTAGATAAGTACATTCATCTTTATTAATTTGTATGTACCCTATGTAGCTAACGTAAGGTTTTGATTAACGGTTACTGTTTAGTATAGACTTCTCAGAGATGAGATATTTTCCCGCAGTAAAAGGTATCCTTTATATTGACCCGGATAAGTCATCATATATCGTTTTCTCGGGATGCGTTCTCAGACAGACAGACAAAAATTCTAAAGACTATAGATTCCGCCTCTGTATCGATAATATTGGCTATTTCAATAAGATTTTTCAAAAAATATATTTAATGTATAGATTCGACTCAGTTAGAATTTTATTATATGTAACTATAGATCTATTGTTCGAGTATATTTATGATCCTTTAATAAATAAAATTGTTTTATTTTCTCGCTCTTTATCTATTGATATGAAATGGCTCTAATGTATTAGAGCAGGTATAAATTTTGATTCCCGATTAGATCCTTAGCAACATTTAATTGTGTCAGATTTTATTAATAAATCTTTTTATCTTTTAAAATTCACAGGGTGGCATTTATATGTTCCACTTATTGGACACATACGCAGCGGGGATCTCTTTACTATGCTCTGCTCTTTTCGAAGCAGTTGCTGTGTCCTGGTTTTACGGTAAAATATTTTTGTATACTTATTTCTACATAAGACTTAATTGCTTTAATAAAGTTTAACTTAACCATTTCGTTTCTATAGGTTTGAAGAGGTTTTCCGATGATGTTGAAGAGATGCTTGGATTTAGACCTGGTCTTTACTGGCGGATATGTTGGAAGTTTGTCAGCCCAGTTTTCATTATTGTAAGAATATTTTTTTTGGGAATCACAAATTCATATATCTATTTAAAAATATCTCATACAATATAAATATTTTTTCTGTTAGTCTCTCCAACTTTATTATATAAGATTGCCAGTGCTAAAATACTTTAATACTAAATAATAATATTTTTTCATATAACCAACAGTTTTACAAATCTGCACTTAATATTTACATTTTATTAACTCCATGCCTATGTAATAATGTCGAAATATATGTATATACGTGCTCTACATATTATAACATCTAATATATCCAAGTATTCATCTTAAAATCAGTATGAACTTTAAATAAAACTATCTTTTGGGATTACTTCGCGTAAGCCATCATCTCGAGAGTCTCTCCCGTGACCATGATTTCTGTAAAGCAATGGAAACGTCGAGAACCAAAAATTAAAATAAATCCGCGAAATAATCCGAAAAGATAGTTTTATTTAAAATGTCAAATATTCGCGTAAATCTATGAAAGTATTAGTATGACAAGTTAACTTTATTACAGGGTGTAGTAGTCTTTGGCCTTCTGTACCAACAACCGCTCCAGTACCAGCACTACACCTACCCGCAGTGGGCCGTGGTCCTCGGCTGGGGACTCGCGTGCTCCTCTATATTAATGATTCCTATAGTGGCTATTTATAAGGTCATCACTACTCCTGGAACTTGTCGACAGGTAAATATTAGTTAGTAATAGAGTTTTGTTGTTTTACTAGGGACTCACAACCGCTCCGCTCGGGTTCGTCCCTACTTACGTTTTAAATTTTCTATTTTTTTATAATTTTTAAATTTTCTAATTTATTTAAAATCTATTAAGTGGTTTTTCCGTGATGCGGCAACAGACATACAGACAAAAATCCTAAGAACTATAGTTTCGGCCTCTGTATCGATAATAAAGTCTATTTCAATAAGATCTTCCAAAAAATATTTAATGTACAGATTCGGCTTAGTTACAATTTTATTATATGTAGGTATAGATTAGTGACTTACACTAGCTTCTCTCTGATACTTTTCTAGGTGATTAACAGTACCTAGCCTATGTATTACTCTACGTCTTCACAGTTTGCTAATTCTGTCAAGAACCAAAAATACAAAGTCTATATATTATATGCCTAGTAAAAAAAACTAATATTTTTAGTATACAATTATTCATTAATACCTATCCTACTAATATTATAAATGCGAAAGTTTGTAAAGATGTATAGATGTATGGATGTTTGTTATTCTTTCACATAAAACTACTGAATGGATTTTAATGAAACTTTAAAATAATATAGCTAACACATAGGTTACTTTTTATAAAATAATACTTTTTAAAATGTACGGTCCCCGTGGGATAGATTTGTTTTTTTTTTCTAGAGGCGAACCCGTGAGAAGCAAGGGTGAGGCGCTAATTTTAAATATAGAGGGAATAGTACTATTAAGTTTTATTCATAAATTTGTTTCTTACATTCATTCACATTTCAGCGTTTAGCATGTTGCATTTCACCTGAGTCAGAGCATGAAGCAATCCGTGGCGGAGCACCGGTCACTCGTTTCACATGGCGACATTGGCTTTACGTTTAAGCTTTACATAAAATACTTAATTAAAATGATTCAGTAGTAACATTGTAGTAATTAATGCATCGTGGATAGTATATGCTTGATAAAGTGTAATGGATATGTAAATCAAAAGGGTTTGTACAATGAGATATCAATAAAAATCTTTGCATCTATTATATCTAAACTTAAGTCCTATGTATAATATTGCTAGAGAGGATCCTAATATGAATTGACATTGCATCTGTTTCGATATGAAGGGTATAAGCAAAAAACAGAAAATGTCACAATTTTGTTTTTTTTTGTTTTGTACTGGTAACGAATCAATGTCTAATGTCTATGGTACATGCATTCCCCACCACTGGTTTTTACAAATACCCAATGATATCGCTAAAAATACGTTTTTATCTATGCTCAAAGCAAAAAGAACTGGAAATATCCATGATATACCGGTAAAGAAGGAGGATTGCCCAAAACAATTGTTGTTGACACAACAAAATGTTACGTAGTAAAAAGTTACTGCATACTTTGATCTCAACAAAAAAATAAAAATATTATGCTTGCAAACTTTAAATGGCTTTTTCTCATAATTTATTCATTAGGACGTTCCTTGTTCCTTATCTGTACCTTTAATATGCGCCTCAGATAAAGTACCAACCCTAGTTGACCTAGACGTTTTCTGTATTAGATAGGTAAATCAGCAACATTTGATTTTATATATGTAAGAAAAACAACATTTATCTCTTAGGTACCTACTTGATATATGAATGCAATAATAAAACATGGAGGAATTTTCATTTCTCCATTTTTTTACCAAAGTGTCTATAAGCATCGTAAGCATTATCATCTTTTAATTTTGACTTAATTTACTTAAATTGTACACATTGTATTACCTATTAAAGGTGTAGTTGTGATATATAGATATAAAAATTGTAAGGTATTAAGAAAAGCCATATTTAAAAAAAGACAATTTGAAAATGTATAAAAAATTGAAATGTAGTTCATCTACTTTTGCTGTGACTTTTGTAAATTCTAAATAAAGGCAAAGGTCATATAAATGTAATCTTTATTATTAATAAAAAAATAAAAAAAAAATATATAATTTAATAATCGTAAATATACGTACGTCTTTATATGAAATTAAATAATTACCTATGTACTTTTCACATAATACCTAGTTACTTAAAAAAATGTTCGGGCGGGTCCCATATAGGTGACGAATTAAAGTAAAAAATATATATTGTTAAGTATGTAGTTGCTTTATTAGATTAATGTATTCTATGCACAAGAATTCAGAAAGATATATTTGAATAATTGTTCATTGTATAATTGTCCATAATGGACCGAAATTGGAATCAGATCTGTGACAAACACAATAATTTTGTAAATATTCATATATTCCACATATTATATTTGTATAAAATACGCCTGAACTATGTACACAGTGTTTATAAAATATCTGTATATTTTTTGTATTAATTCTTCGATAAACCATTATAGATATAATAGATATTATATTATGATAGATATTATGTATTTGCTAGTGCTTTTTAGTGTGAAAGTGTCCATAGGTACTCTACTTACGCTTAACTAAAAACTTACCTTATGAGTTATAAAAATACAAAAATTTAAGCCTCGGCATCCATATTATATTATTTACGGTAGAAATAAACAATGCGTAGTAAAATTGTATGTCATAACTAAAAAAAAATTATCATCAAAAAAAATGTTCATGTATGAAAATATGTACCTACTTTAAATAAAAATTGTAAATTATATTAATGTATATGTGTACAAAAAATTAAGCTCAAATAATCATTTATATTATAAAAACAAAAATATATTATACCATTTAGAAAAATATATTAAATTATTGGCGCAAAATTATTAATGTGTCTACGTAGGTATATGAAATGTTAGTTACATACAAAAAATTAAAAATATTGTGTTGCATTATAAAAAAAATGCATTCTTTAACGTAAGCCCTTTGTAACGTCCCAGTACTGGGCACGGGCTTCCCTTCAATACAAGGCCAGGCCATAATCCATCACGCTGGCTAAGTGCGGGTTGGTGGACACAAAAAAAAATAATTACAAAATTGTTTATGAATTATCAAAAACATTTAATCAGTTTGTTATTGCAATAAGTTAGCTAACCGAGCTTTTTACAACTACAACCTTTATTCTGTAGCAGTGTAGTTAATAAGATGCTCCAGGCGAGTTAAAAAAACCTTGTATATAACGTAGTGAAATTGCTATGAGTGATTATTAATACTTTCTTAGATTTACGCGAATATTTGACATTTTAAATGAAACTATCTTTTTTTTTTAATTTAAAATGAGTGATTATTGTAAATACTTCGCTACACCTGGTTACTGTGTGAAATAAATTTTAAATTGTTTAGACATCAATGTGAACTGTGTTCATTTATTAATTATAATTAATAAAGGTGTTAGATACCAACTGCATATTTGTTTTATTTCTGAAAGTAATAATTGAAAAATAAGCACTACCTATATACCAATAATATTTAGGTACTAATGATCAACTTATGGATATATGAATTAGGGTATTGTTTCAAGTAACTGTAAGTTATACTACTGTTGATACCGTCGTGTTGAGATGGAATCAAAATATAGGTAGGTGCTTAAATATTACTACGTGTTTAGATGGAATCAAAACATAGGTACTTATATATTCTTTAGTGTCATCTTAATTGGTATAGTAGATCAAAGAATATAAAGTAAGCTTCCTTTTCGTAAGCTTCACTAACTACGTATAGTACGAGTATGTGTAGGTATATTTTATAATAGCTGCGTGTGTGTATGTCTCCAACTGCTTATATATAATACTATGTTCCTACGTCGCCTTGTTCTCTTCTTCTTAGTTTGCTTTTCTCTAATTGCTTCAGATTAATAAAAGCAGTAAACATTTTAAAAATATATATACATTATATTTTAATGTATATTATTATATTCTTTATTGCACTAAGCAAGTAATTAAAAAAAATACATAGACAATGACGTGGACAAAGGTGGACTTATCTCTATAAGAGATCTCTTCCAGTCACTCATGTGAGTATGTGGTAAATAGTGTTAAGTAGCGGGACTGAAAAAGAAATGTAATAACTAATAGTAGGTACTTTTTTCAGTCTTTTTTGGGAAAAGTCGTGAAATTTTAGCACCGCAAATACGCAGTATCCATATACTTTATACTAATATTATAAATGTGAAAGTGTGTTTGTTTGTTTGTCCTTCTTTCACATCGAAACGGATTGACGGATTGGCGTGATTTTTTGTGTGGAGATAGTTGGAGGGCTGGAGAGTGACATGGGCCACTTTTTACCGCGGGAGATTATTATTGAACATGCTCAGTTATTCTATAAGAAAGTACCTACATTGAATATAAAATGGGGGAAAAATAATGCCACTGGCTTAGTATAGTATTATATGATCTGTGCTTATACTTAATAGTGGGCATTTCATGCGCAAGTCGCATCATTAATGAATGGAATATGGATGAAGTTGGCAGTATGAAATTATGTCAGCCATCAGCCATATTCAACAGGAGGAACCAGTGTAGCCATAACGCGTTTGAGATGGTTCTCATATATTCAATGCGGAAGATTTCTCGAAAGGAGGGGATCGCCTATTTAAATTCAGTCTGAGGTTAAGCAACTTATTGTGATATCTCATTTATACCTAGTTTTTTGCTTCTATTGTGTTCGCATCTTACCTGTGCAAGCTGAAGGAAGAATTGAGAAGGTACATCCTGTGGTTGTCCTGACTGACTGATGGATCAACGCAAAGCCTAAACCGCTGGTCGTAGAAACGTAAAATTTGGAGGACATATTCCCTATATCATATAGGGAATCATCAGTAAGCATCCAATAAGAAAGGATTTTTCGAAATTCATCCATTCATCTAAGTGGGTAAGATAGGGGATTAAAGGTTGTATGAAACTCTGTCATTCTTAATGTGAAATACACAGAAAGTGGTGTTTAGCTTCAGTTGTAGTATTTTTTATCTTAAGATAAAAAATAAGAAATATATTTATTTTATTTTTACGAAATTCATCCCTTAAAGGGGTAAAAGGGGGTAATAAAATTAAGAATTATTTATGATCAGAATTACTTGAAACTTGGTATAAATGCTCTTCAATAAAATGAAATAAATACGTGTTTTAGAATTTTTTGAAATTCAATCCCATAAGGGGGTAAAATGGGGGAAACAGGGGGTAATATGGGAAATCCTGTAATTAATATGTAAAAAAGTACAAAAAATGAAAAATTATATTATCCTGTAGACGATTTAATAGTTTTAAAATCACTTTCTTTAAAATGATGTCCACATAGCCTTAAATATTGTGATTTCGCCAATTTTGGTCGTCTTATTGCTTTAGCCCACAATTTCATCAGTTTTTGTGTTTTGGGGACAAATGATATCCATTTTCTTTGCATCTTGGTACTGCACAATTTGTCATTTAATTTAAATTTAAAATAAAATGAAAAAAAACCATCCACGCTATAGAGCTTTACAATGTACTTAGGGCTACAGCGATCGCGTCATCTGGCGGGAGAAAATAGCAAAATTCTTCCATATTATTTTTAATAAATTATGTAATAATATATAATTATTATCAAATTGAAACACAATTGTTGTTTTACGTTTATAGATAACATATTTTTACCCTTTTTTTAACACAACGTTTCAAGCAACGCATATGTACTATAATTTTATAATAATATTTTCTTTAAAATTTCCTTCATAAATTTGAATTATTTGTATATTTATAATATTACATCAAAATTCATAAAATGATCACTGTTTTTATGTTATTAGTAGTTTTATTTATTTAAGGTACTTTAAATTATAAAGCAAAATAATTTCTAATTTTCTTAATAGAAACGTTAGTTCAATGGCAGACTTGACATTTTATAGAACCTACTTGGATTTTATTTCAGTTTAATTAAACTAAACATTGTATATTGTATAAAAATATCAGACACTAGTGCAACAGCTTAGAAGATTGCGTTTACTAAATAATACTTGCAGCATCTGTAATTAAGCTATATTTACTTGAGAAATACGACATTTCTGGGTTACTTCTATATAATCGATATAAGTAAATAACTTTAATATTTTGCCGTAATATGCTATCATTTCATTAAAAAAAGTAATGAGATAGCGAGAGGTGAGTGACCCATAATATTAATATGAAAATTCGGTTTCCATAAACGAATATCTTATAATAAAACATATGTTACTTTTAATATCAGGGAAATATATGTATATTAATTAAGGAGTAATAAAAGCGACTGACACATTGTCACTACAAGAGAATGACTAACATTGTTTCCTTACTAATTAAAGGACATACATTTTGAGATAAAGAATTTATTTTAATGAGATAAATAATATCTAAGAATATTTTTTATAGTAAAAATTATATGACTGTAATGAGCCGTCTAACAATGTTTTTAATATTAGCAATAATTTTTCTTTCATAAATTTAACTTGTGTAATAAATATTTCATATGTGAGTGTTAAAATTGTCAATACAATGTCAATTTATCTTAAATTTTATAATTAACATTTTTTAATTTTCTTGTTTGAAGGCAATCATGTCCTTAGAACGTGAAAGTATGGGTGTGATGCCCCCGATACCTAGTAGTGGCCCACTAGACCCCCGGTCACAGCTATTGCAAGAAATGAGGGATCAGAACTTTGATCTCATAAGATTTGCATCTTATAGAACAGCATGCAAACTAAGATTTGTCCAAAAGAAGTGTAATTGTGAGTGTGTACTTTAGAAATACTTTTTAATCTACACTTATATTATAAAAAGGCAAAGTTTGTTTGTTTGAATGTGCCAATCTCAGAAACTACTAATCCGATTTGAAAATTTATTTTTGTATTAAATACCCGTTTATTGAGGAAGGCTATAGGCTATATCTTATCATGCTACTACCCAAGGGAGCAGAGCAGTAATATAATATACAGTTTATCTATTCCATACTAACTTATACATAGAGACGAACCCAAGCGAGGCAACCGCTACTTATTTATATACATATAGCTATACAAATGTATTTTTCTTAATTGTTTGTTTTTCTGTTTCTTAATCTCACTTTGCCTTTTTATAAAGTGTCATGATAGGTTAGATTAAAAATTTCAAATTTCAAATTGTAGCTACTGGATTTTTATTATATCTGTTATAAATATATTATATATCATTATAATATTATGTCTTATAACTAGTTAGTTAGATTTTGTATCTAAGATTATATAAAAAATTATGTATTTTTTTCAGTACACGCAATAGATATATGGAATGTAATAGAGGCTTTCCGAGAGAATGCTCTCAACACCCTAGAGCCTACTGCGTGTGTCAATGTGACACGTTTGGAAACACTTGTATCTTCATTGTATCATAATTTAAACAAGCGACTGCCACCTGCAAATCAAGTATCAGTTGAAGCATGCTCAGCACTTCTGTTGAATTGGCTACTATCCGCATATAGTACAGGGTAACACATTGTTATCTATTTTATATATTATTCAATAGTGATTTTTAAATATATATTAATTTAACTATAATATATTTATTTAAATATCATTTTTTTTTAATTATAATTTTTTTATATTTTTGATCCCCAAGCATATTACAAAATCATGTTGTTTTAATAATTTATTTTGTATTATTTGTGATATCTAATGAATGATGAGCAAGTAATAAAGATTGCTGTAATAATATTAACTGTTCGCAAAATAGACACAATAGTTAAAAAATCGAAATGTTCATATATGACTCATGGGACAGGGAAATGGTTAAAAAGAAAGAAGTCATTTATTCCATAATTTTAAAAATTGGTTTTATTTTGTTTTGTGTGTATTTTTATTGATGACTGTTGTTGATTTACTTTACAGGGAAAATGTAGGAAAAATTAGAGTTTTCTCAATAAAAGTTGCCTTGGCCACAATGTGTGCTGGAAAACTTATGGATAAATTGAGATGTAAGTTTGAAGACTTTAATATTTTTTTGTTATAAATAAAAGCTAAAATAACTATGTTTTTATTTATTATAATGTAACTATATGTAATCTTAAATGTATATTTTCAGATATATTTTCACAATTATCGGACGGCAATGGACATTTACTAATGAAGAGGCTATCAGATTATTTGCGTGAAGTGTTAGCACTACCTGCGGCTGTGTATGAGTCACCATCTTTCAGCTACAATGACAACTTAGCCATGTCTATTTTTAATCAGGTGAGTCATGTTGCAACTACTGATTTCTAACGAGATTTCTCACCTTGTAGACTCATATCATAAACAATACAGTGTGCTCTTTATCTTTTTAACCTTGAAACCCATTATTTTGTTACATATTTTTTGTAAACATAATATAATAAATTCTTTATATATGTGCATAATACAATAGCATAATGAAAATTTTCCTATAATACAGATAGTTTTTGGTGTAAGTTCTTTCTGCTGTAAGTCCATTTGAATCCAAACCTTAGGTACTCGTACAGTAAAAATAAGTCAGTACATATTCAATTACAAATTTTACACATTTATAGTATTAATCTGATTATTTATATAGTTAATCTTATCCGTAAGTTTTTGTTGAAGAGATGCCTGGGAACAATAACAATTTCAATATTGATAAATAAAATAATCAGTGTTGTTTTGCTATATATACATCTAATTTGTTTAGAAATTGATGAGGGTCATAAGCTATGTTTTTTACCCGACTGCGCGACGCTAAAGAGGGTAATGTGTTTATCAATCTATGTGTGTATGTTTGTTCCTATATGGCGTTTTAGAGACCAAACGCGTAGGCCGATTTTGATCATTCTTACATCAATCGATTCGTCTTAACGTTGCGAATGCCATTAAAGAAATGAAAGTAATCAAAATTCACCACAGTGACAAACCAGACGCCATATTATCAAAATGAAAAAAAAAATAATCGACGAACTATGTTAAGAACGGTATCGTTGAATAGGTATTTAAAAATCATTTTTAGGTTCCTTTCATCATTTTTCATAAATAAAAAAGTAAATTATAGAAATAATAAACCCGACTACATAAAAGCTAACTAAAAAGATGAAAACAAGATACAAACAATGCAATCCATAGATACGGCCGTTTATGACGCATGATTTGACACTCGTAAGGAAATTAAAACCTAGAGTAGTTCCCGTTGACCTAGAATCATGAAATTTGACAAGAAGCAAGTCTTATTATTTGCACAAGCGAAGAGAAAATCCGAAAGTCATTATTGTAGTTACATGACAAATCTATTTCATGCTACGGAACCCTCAGTGTGTGAGTCAGACTCGCACTTGTCCGATTTTCAAAATAATTTTAGATTTGTATTATTTGTTCCAGAATGGCAAGATAACAGTCAATGATTTCTTAGACATATTGATGTCCGACCCCGGCCCGCCTTGCCTCGTGTGGCTTCCACTGCTGCATCGCCTTGCTAGTGTTGAAAATGGTAAGAATAATATTTATAGTACATGAGTTATTTTAACTTCTTTGAACATATTTTGAACGATTTAATTGTTCAAGGGGATATGTTTTATTATATACATTTTGTTTAGAATTAATACATAAATAAGGTACGCAAATACATATATTAGCCCTTTAAGGCAGATATTTCATACCTAAATTGCAACTGGATTTTTTTTATATTGGCTCGAATTTTTTTAACTGTTATTTTTTATTATAATAATGTTGTTATCTTACATTACCTTTAAATATTTTTTTTTTATTTTGAGACTTCAAAAAATGAGGAGGCAGATTTTATGTGTACTACTAACAACGCTATATTTTTAACTATTATGAACCGATATTCATTTCTTTTTTAACGACCTGTTTATAGTCAAGAGTGTATGTGTATGCATTAATAGAAATCAATTAGTGTATTTATTTATTTAAAAGTTTCTATTGTGTGTGTAGAGTAGTTATAATGTTTTATTAAATACTGCAATTCAGTTTTTAAAAGGGCAACTATTTCAAAAGTGCTTAAAACATTAAAATGTTTAAGTTTAATTGAAATAAAGTTCATTTTCATTTTTATTATCATTTCATTCAATTTCACACAGTGTGTATGCCATTGCTTGGGAAATCAAGTGAAACGGGTTCAAATCTTGTATCAATTAAATCTAATATTTTCATTCTGCGAATCATTTCCAACATGATTACCACTTGTCTTACGGTGAAGGAAAACATCGTGAGGAAACCTGCATGTCTGAGAGAACCTAGCAAGTTTTCGATAGACATGTGAAGTCCGCCCACATTTGGCCAGCGTGGTGGACTATGGCCTGATTCGTACTGAAGGGAGGCCCGTGCCCAGCAGTGGGGCGTTAAAAAAAGCTGAATACACATGTTTATTGTATTGAATGAATATCTAAGTGTACTTGACGGTGTGTGCGCAGTGGTGCACCCGCTGGCGTGCAGCGTGTGCCGGCGCGGCTCGCTGACGGGCTTCCGCTACCGCTGCACGCGCTGCGCCGGCTACACGCTCTGCCAGGAGTGCTTCTGGCGCGGACACGTCACGCCGCCGCACGCGAACGACCACGAGGTCAAGGAGTACGCCACTTATGTAAGTGATGCTGAGTTTATAATACGCTTTTTAGAAGTTATACTTGTTTTGGCACGCTTGGAAAAAAATATAAGAGTAATACGCGCACAAACCGACAGCCACAAAGCGACATGATGATGTTAGCTGCATTCCTTTTACAAACAGAGTGTTATGACATACGGGATGAAATCTTCAGCTATTTTTGTTCTGTTACGCCAAAGAATTATAACTTCTTACGTGCGTACATAAGTTCACGCACACGTTTTGTTAAGTCGAAATGATTTTTCAAAGAAAATGTTCCTAACTACTTGCACTGAATCACAATATTTTTGAAAATTGTTTCGTCCATCAAAATATTACTAAAGCTGGAAGAGTTTCTTGTTTGGTTATTTAAACGCGCTTTGCTGTAAAAGTACCAATATATAAAAAAAACATTTTTGGAGAAAGATTTATTTAAACCTTAAGAGCTAAGCCCATTACCTATATAAAAATAAGATATGGATACACGGACGAACACGATTGTGGTGAATACAACGATAATGGTGCGAACAACGTTAGTTTGTAACTATACCACATTGTAATAAAGTGAATTAAGATTTTAATAATTTAATATTTCGCCTTTTTTGCGCATTTTTTTTTCATTGTTAAATTTAACAGTTTTATATTCGCGTAAATATTGAATTGAAAATGATGAATTGTTTCTCAGAAATCGCCATCGAAACAGATCGGCGCGACGCTGCGCAAGTCGTTCCGCTGCGTGCCGGAGCGCGCGCGGCCGCAGCTGCCGCGCTACCCCGACCAGCCCGAGCGCACGCTCAACCTCAGCCATATCGTGTGAGTTCTGCTCTACACACATAGATAACATACTTTAACATCATATATTTTTATATCATATTTATTATATATCATTGATACAAAAGAGGAAATCAACAATAGATCCCGTGCATACGGGAGGCGATCTTATCGCTGTAAGCGATCTCTTCCAGGCACACAATTACATGCCTATATATATATACATGCATAAATAAATTCATACATATGTACATGAATAAATGCATATATAAATGTAGATCGGATAAAAGACGCTCTCTTAGATATAACTATCTTTTCGGATTTATTCGTAAATTTATTTTGATTTTTGGTTCTCGACTTTTCGAATGCTTTAGCGCGTGTACGCGCAGACACAAGTGCGCTCTCTATTCTTGTCACTCTCATACTCTGGTGGGACGATGGGACGATTACTCGACACGATTAGTGTGAGTTAAGGCAGGACAGACGCGACACGTGCTCTCCGAGGCACGGGGTTGCTACACCTCGAACTTCCCAACTCCGGGCTACTACTGAAAATATAATAACAGAAAAGCTCAGTAATTAAATTTGGCCCGTCCCGGAACTCGAACTCAGGACCACCAACGAGGCATATACAATAATAGTGTGATGTAACGTGTGTGCAGGCCGCCGTCGCCGGTGCCGGCGCACAACGGGTTCCCGGAGTACGTGGGCGGGTACGTCAACACCGGCTCGCTCGACAGCCGCTCCTCGCGCTCCACACACCGCAGTATGTATACATTGTATTTTATATTATCTATTATTTACATTTTTTTTATTTTATTATACTTTTTAATTTATTTTTTAGAAAAAAATTGACAACGTCAAAACAAAATTCATTGCGTGTTTAAAATTTATTTCAAAATATATCGAAAAATTACATTAAAACTTTGAGTATTAGTATAAAAAATGTTTTAAAAGACAAGAACAATAGCATTCCCAAGAAGGGTTGATGTCAGGCAGGCGGCTGGTTCTTTTTGCCAAATCCTATCAGCAGTACAGAAAATGTACTGCGCCGACTCCAAGTGATTGGGAAATGGGCAGGGAGATGATGATGATGATTTTTTTTTTTTTTTTTTTTAACTTTTCTGCACCGCGGCAATCTGTTAGACACAACAATAAGCCACTGCTTTGTCTGATACTTGTATCTGTTTTGGCTTTATAGCTTGGTGAAACACTTTTCAAGTAGGTGTCTCATTCCATACTGTTGAATCTATCTTGTAGGGTTGGAACACTATGTCTCTTTAATCTTCTATGTTGAAGTCCTTGATCTCCGCTGAGTCTGAGGGCAAGCTCATTTTTGTGATTTGAGAGTCTTTTCTGGTAGTTGATGCTATATTTCGCTATCTCCTGTTTGACAGTTGGTACATTTAAGTCAAGATATATGTACTTATTACTGATGTATTGAGGGATGTTAAATATGGTCCTCAGTGTTTTGGTTTGAAATCGTTCCAGTATCTCTATGTTACTGTTGCTGGCCGCACCCCAAAGCTGTATGCCATAGGTCCATATTGGTTTCAAGATGGCTTTATAAACTGCCAACTTGCTGTTTGTGCTCATTTGTGAGTTTCGTCCTATTAACCAGTATATACTACGTAGTTTTAAATCTAGTTGTTTCCGTTTTGTCCATATGTGTTTTTTCCATGTCAGCCTACGATCTAAGTGCATGCCCAAGTATTTAGCATTGTCGTCTTGCGGGATTTCTTCGTTATTAAGTATAACCGGTGGACACGTGTCTCTCCTTAGAGTAAAGGTCACATGTGTTGATTTACTTTGATTAGCGTGTATTCGCCATATTTTAAGCCATTCTTCAATTTTATCAATGTGGTGTTGTAGATGTTCTGATGCGGTTGCTGGGTTCGTGTGTGTAGAAAGTATGGCTGTATCGTCGGCATATGTTGCAACCGTAGTCTTTTCTACTGTTGGTATGTCAGCAGTATATATGGTGTAGAGCACTGGTCCTAGTATACTTCCCTGTGGCACTCCTGACTTGATCTCATATAGGTCGGAAAGTTTATCGTGGAACTTTACTTCAAAACATCGCTTGCTGAGATAAGACTTTATTATGTGGTAAAACGAGTGTGGTAGCATCTTTTTGACTTTGTATAATAGGCCCTCGTGCCACACTTTGTCAAAAGCCTGGCTTATATCCAAAAAGACTGCTGAACAATATTTTTTTTCTTCTAACGATCTGCTTATAACGTCAATGATGCGGTGAATTTGCTCGATCGTTCCGTGGTTCTCCCGGAATCCAAATTGGTGATTTGGGGTGATGTCACTTATGTGTACTTGCATTCTTTTTAGTAACATTTTCTCGAGGAGTTTCCCTATTATAGGCAAAAGACTTATAGGTCGGTATGACGCTACTTCATTAGGTGGTTTACCGGGTTTAGGTAACATTTTTATCTGGGCTATCTTCCATTGTCCTGGGAAGTGGCTAATTCTTATGCAGGCATTAAATATGTTGACAATTGCTACTATACCCTTTTTTGGCAGATTTTTTAAAAGAACGCTGTCGATCTGGTCGTATCCCGGTGCTTTGCCATCCTTAAGATGTTTTATGTCACCAGCTACTTCGGTAGGGCTCGTATATTTTAATGGGAGACACATTTGCTGAGGACTTTCCAGATAACTTTTTATTTCGCCGTTGTGCTCTGGTTTTATTTCAGGAAATGGTTGAAATACTTTGCTAATGTGTTCAGCAAAGGTTACAGCCTTCTCCGTGTCAGATCTGGCCCAATTCCCGTTACTTTGTCTGATAGGAGGGATTTGATAATTGGGACGTTTTAATTTCTGTGTTGCCTTCCATAGTGAGTAATTTGTGTCTAAACTTGGGGTCAAGTTAGAAAGGAAATTTTGAAGGTTATTGTTGGTAAAACTTTTAATGAGGTCTTTTAGTTCGTCCGAAGATCTGTTGAACGCTGTTTTGTCTGCGGGGTATCCAGTTTCGTGCCATACTTTTCTTAGATGACGACGTTCTAATATTTTGTCTTTGATCATTTTCGGATATTTGTTGTTTAGGGGTAATTTTTCTTGCACTTTTGTGGAACTAGCGGCTGCTTCATGTATGATTTTATTAAGGTTCTCAATAGCCTCTTCTATATCTTCCACTGTTTTTAATGGATTTATGAGCTTAATTCTCTCCGTGATTATGCCCTTATACATCTCCCAGTTAGTATTTTTGTTATAAAGTCTTTCTGCGGGTTGCACCAATACCGCTGATGAGCTTACATTTAATATGACTGGCGTGTGATCAGATGATAGATCCGTACAGGTTTCAGTAGTCATGTAGTTTCGACCTATATTTTTAGTTATATAGAAGTCTAGCAAGTCAGGAATTTTACTTCGATCCGTTGGCCAGTATGTTGGTTCGCGTGAACTCATGCATTCCAGCCCCAGACCCTGCATTGCACCAAGTAGTTGCCTTCCGCGATGTGTGATTAATCGGGAGCCCCAGTATGTGTGTTTAGCATTCCAATCACCACCACTTATGAATTTGGGGCCGAGTGAGGAGAAATACATGTTGTAGTCTTGTTTTGTCATCGTATGTCTGGGCGGACAATAAACTGCAGAATAGGTTGTCTCAACTTTATCGTTGATCACTACTTTTATTGACGTAGCTTGTATTTTATCCGTATAGTATTTTTCCAGTTCATAATGTTTAATATTATTTTTAATAATTACTGCGGTTCCGCCGTGACTATTTCCTGAAGGATGATTTGTTGTGTACACTGTGTAATTTTTTATAGCGAAGTGAGATCTTGCAGTGAACCTTGTTTCGGAAATTAAAGCTACGTCAATTTTTTCAATCTCGAGGAATGTTTGAAACTCTTGACGACGGTCCGTCAAGCCATTGGCGTTCCAAGTTACTACTCGGAGTGTATTAATCATTTTGTTATCAGGCTTGAGATAAGCTGGATCATTCGGTCCATCATTTTGTCCATCATGCTGATCATGATTTGTTGAAATTTAGCGAACATTAGTTCTAATTTGTCAGGAAGATTTTCCGCGTCAGGTATCCCTTTAGTCAGTGGTCGTTCTTTTGTTACATCTGAATAGCTTCTTTTTTCTGTGTAATCATTTTGTCTTAAGTTTTGTTTTACTGTTGGATTTAATATTTTGACCTCTTTTGTATTCGGAATTGTATGGTTTTCTTTATTGGTTGGTTTGATTTTTAGTATTCTTTCCTTGTATTGTTTGTATTTTGTGCAACCCTTGTAGCTTGCAGGATGTCTTTCTTGACAATTTGCACATGTAGCATCCGTTTCTGGTGTTTTGGTGCACGAGGAAGTAGAATGATCGTTACCACATTTCACACATCTGAATGGTCTGAAGCAATGGTTTTTAGTGTGGCCGAACCTCTGGCATCTTTTGCATTGAATTATTTCTTTTTTCTTATAAGGAGCTTCAAAAGTCACTTTCATTTGACTTAGGTATCTTAATTTAAATATTTCTTTGTTGTTCTGGTTTGGTTCTAAGTCCACAAAGAATATGGGTAATGCTTCTTTGGTATACCTATGTAAAACATTTACTATTTGTCTCACCTCATGTCCTTGTTCTTTTAACTCTTGTTTTATTAGAGAAGTATCTTCTGTGGAGTGTAGTCCACGTAGTACAACTCTATATGCTCTTTCACATTTTAATTTATAAGTATAATGTGATATATTGTTAGTTATAAACTGCTCTCGGATTGCTTTATAGGTTTGTATATCGTTGGGCATTAGCTTAATGATATGGCCGGATCTTAATGTTGTCATTTTGTATAATTTGTTGTCAACGATTTTATTTAGAGTAGCTTTTAATGCTGTAACGTCCATGACTCCTGTCACAAAAATAGGTTCGGGTTTAGGTATATATTCTTTAACCGGGACCATTTCTTCTGTTTCCTCACTGTTGAGGATATCAAATTTGTTGTGCGTAGGCACTGCGAAGATGGGTGTATTCTTTGATTTCTTAGTATAGTCACTGCAGATTGGGCTTGTTTCCTTTCTCTTTTGCCTTTTAGGAGGAACTTGATCGTTTTGCCACAGATTTACTGGTTCTTCTGCGTTTTTAGACTCTGATTCTTTATTTTGAGATTGCTTATCACTGGTTATACTGGCTGCGACTGCTGGTAGACTGTTACTACGGTTTCTGATGAACATACTTTTGTGAAATTGTTGTTGGATCATATTAGGATCATTTAGAGTTTTATTAGTTTCATTCATATTGTTCCCACGAGTAAGGTCGAAATAAATAGTCACTTGAAGGGTGACGCCTATTCCTTCAAGAAGGCTCATACAACAACGTTTGCCGGGTCCGTTGAGGTTGGCGCTAGCAACTTACTACCTGTAAGCCATACATCCTCTCGGCGCGCTTCCCACCTTAGGATTAGGGTAAATTTTTAGAGAGGCTTTCTACCTCTTGACACGGGCGGTAAAGCCAATGCCCCCGATTCCATGATAACACAATGGAGTTGCGGGTTGTGGAGGTCATTTCCTACCCCCAACAAGAAATCTGCTTGTTAGGCAATTTGAGTCGGGTTAATTAACCGCCGCCCGAGACTCGGCGTTGTTGCTCGTTTAGCACCACCCAGGGGAGACGTGTAGGGTGGGTCTAGGAAAAGATGGTAAATCCTACGGACGCGAGCAACTTTCCTCCCCCTGATGATGATGATGATTGTTTATTATTTTTATTAGCATGATAAAGCATTGATATACAAAAATTCAAGACACCCAATTAGCGTCTCAAAGTGTCCTAAAAAAAAGTGAACAATTCGAAATTGTGTGCTTTTTTCAGTTCTCTTTAATATGTCTACAATGCTTTTTGGACGACAAAATTAAAAAAAATTCAAATTTGTGTTAAAACAATTAAGTTTGACATAAACTCATACGCCGACGCCACTTTTTGAAGAGAACTCTAAATTTGTTTTGTTTAGATTTAAGATTAAATGACTTAATTTGATCTTATCATTTCTGTTTTCTTATAAGACATGTAATCTCAAGGCAGTGGTAGCCCAGTGGTGACGCGCTCGCTTGGGTAGCCAAGTGAAGCGGAGTCAAATCCCAGGTCTTGCACCTCTCATATTTTCATGTGCGAATCATTTCAAACGAATGATATCATCGTGAGGAAACCTGCACGTCTGAGAGAACCTAGCGAGTTTTTCAAACACGTGAAATCCTTCCCGCACTTTGTGCTATATTTGAACAAGCGTGGTGGACTATGGCCTGATCGCCCTCGTACTGAAGGGAGGCCCGTGCCCAGCAGTGGGACGTTAAAAAATACATATAATCTCAGTGTAAATAAAGAATCTTTACATACTATAAAATGAAGTCGCTTCCGCTGTCTGTTCGTTTAGATCTTTTAAAGTACTCAACGGATTTTAATTCAGTTTTCAGCAATAGATAGAGTGATTCAAGAGAAAGGTTTATATGTATAATACATGCATATTATAGTACAGAAATGCCGAGAAATTCAAAGATTTGTATTTCATACTAACCGTTAAAACGTAAGTATATTATATATTATGAATTAAATAAACAGGTATAGCGGATCACTTATCTCGAGGAGTGGATGATGAACATCGTCTTATAGCGAGGTATGCTGCAAGGCTGGCGCACGAAAACCGTACAATGGTAAGTTATATATTATATGTAACTAGCTTTTCCTACGGTTTTGCTCGCATAGAATTTCGTCGGCCTAATTCGTTAACCTGCTAAGTCCGTTTTTGAGCAATTTTACTTTTTATGCCAGTCAAAAAGTTTAGAGGATTACCTAAATTTGTTAAAAGACTACGGTATCAATATAAAAAGGTTAGAAAAACATCAAGGGTATTTTCAGAATATTGATGTCTAAAAATGAAATGATATATGTATGTAATTCAGTTTTTTCTTCGTGATGTAAACTATGCAGAAATACACTCGGCGGGTTACGAATTAGGCCGACTATTTTGTATGTGTAATTTATGTCTTTCTAAAAATCATAGTGTGATCTTCGTTGGATATACGCCATTAACTTAAGGCTGTAAAATTAAAAAAAAATCGGATGAATAAGTAATAAGAGCGTTCAAATAATTTATTAACGTAATTAATGTATAATGTATGTTGTACCGTCGGAAATAGACTTAAAGCGCTTTATAATATTAGTGGGTCTAAGCTCTTGGCCCTTAGCAAAGACTAGTTTTTAATTATAAACAATCTTTTGTATGTCTTTAAATATGGATGTTTTCTTTATGGATTTTTTTAAGATATTTGGGCTTAATTATTTTTTTTACTTTTTTTCACAGCCGCGAGCTGGCAGATCAGCATCACTTACGCCAGAGTTGGTAAGTACTTATGAAAAAATGATCACGTTATATTGTTATAAATTTGCATTTTATTACATTTATTTTATTAACAGAATTTACTATAGTGAATTTATTATATACCTATAATATCGCCTAAGTTAAATAAATAGATAGAAATAAATCGATCGAAAGAAATAAATAAATGGAAATAATGTTTATTTGGCTTAAACCTTCTTCTCTATACCAACTTATCGTGTTTATTGCGCACTGATAGTTTATGGAGGGATGGCGCTTAAATTTTATGCTCAATAAAACAACGGATCGAAGGTTTTTTTTACATATTAATAATTTATTATCTATAAGTGCTATTTGGATTATTAAAGTACATACACATATATATGCGACTAACATTGCCCGCGGCTCCGCCCGCGTTCAGATGACCAAAAACCAAATTCTTAGGTTTTACATATTAGTATACTCTTACATTGCAGTTTTTTTTTATTTTTTCTCAGAAATGAGATATTTTCTAGCAGTAAAAAGTATCCTACATGTTTATCTGGATATCCAGCTACCATCATACCAAATTTCATCAAAATCCCTCCAGTGGTTTTTCCGTTATGCGGTAACAGACAAACAAACAGACAGACAAATATTTGATGTACAGATTTGGCATAGTTACAATTTTATTATATGTATAGATAGTTTGTAAGTGTGTGTATGTATACAATCTATGTTGTCATTTGTGTGGTTTACATTTGCCACTAATAGATGGGAGTTATGTGTCAGTTGAATCACGCTATTGTTTGGTTCTTTCGGATTAGGTAAGTTAAATTTAGCATACATGTTTTGGGGTACTTTCGACTAATATATAGGGCATTCCACGCCAAATCGGACGGTTTCAAAAAAAAATTTGTTTTTTTTTTAATATTTTGCTATTTTAATGTTGAGATTTTTTTGATCACTGGGTCAAAGCCGCTCTTTTTTTTTTGGTTTTTTGCTCATAACTTTCTTAATAATGGTCGAAATTCAACTTTGTTTTTCAAAATGTTTGCTTTTGGATGATGACCATTGACTAAAAAAATATAAATAAAATATTTAAAATGATTTTAAGCGAGAATTTTGAATTTTAAGTTATCAATCGTGTTTTTAAAACTGTGTGCATCATTCGATTTTTTTGAAAATTTTCTATTTTAAATTTCTATCCATCATGTAACTTTTAAGCCCGGTCCGGTAGTGGACCTTCCATAATTACAATTTTTTTTCGAAATTTAAAAATGAAAAGAATAATTAATTTTTACTGTATTAACAAGAAAGTTGAATTAAAAACATCATATCAATAAATGTATGTATGCACAGGGTCGCTCGTCATCGGAAGGGTCGGAGGTGGACGCGGCGCGGCAGCAGCGAGAGCTCATCTCCCAGCTCGAGGCCAAGAACCGGGAGATAATGCGAGAGATCGCCAGGCTTAGGTAATATATCTACACTAATATAGAGGTAAAGTATGTTTGTATGTAGCGAGTGATCTCTGGAACTATGTCTATTCTAATATTATAAAGGGGAAAAAATTGTTTTATTTTGTTTGTTTGTATCGAATAGGTTCCGAAACTACTGAACCGATTTAAATGAAAATTAATAAGAAGATAGTTTGAGACCCTGGGAAGGACATAGAAATTTTTTATCCCGGAAATCGTCCCTTAAGGGGGTGAAAGTTTGTATGGGGAAGCAACCTAGGGACGAACCCGAGCGAAGCGAGGATGAGTCGTATAACATATGATTCGATTTTAAATATTCTTTCATCAATATCAAGCTACATTAACGCCTCGTGCTTATTATTTATTACGACAAAAACGTATTTACTGTCAGAAATCATAAACTTTAATGTCGGGAATAAACTAGCGTGCATTTGTTTGTTGTCTTTCGACAATTTCGACCGATTTCGGCCAATCTCACTGAGACTAGCCATATGCGCAGGAGATATTATAGTGCACTCTCTATTCCTTTTTTTTTACTCTTAAGTCTGATTTGACGATACTTCGAAATGACCAGTGTGTGTTTGTTATATAAAAGAATTATATTTAAATAAAAGAAGCTAATATGCAATTTTATCTTTATCAATTATATCATTATTTTCTCAAAAATTGTAAATTGAAGTTTAATACCTATACATATAAAGTTTTTCTTAATCATTGAATGAATGGAGTAAACGAATTTTTCTTAGTCTTTGTAGAAAGTAAACGGTAAACGATATGTATGGCAAAATCGAGGATAGTAGCATAAACAGTAAAAAATGCTAATATTTTTCACTTCGGCATTTACTTTGGCAGGCTCTGTCTTTATAATTATTTAGTCGAAGATGTTATATTACGTCATTTTGTAATATGTATAATATTCATAGTTGTATATTCCTAAGGAGGGTTGATATCAGGCAGGCGGACGGTCGTAAAACTTTTGCCAAATCCTGTCAGCAGTACGGAAAATGTACTGCGCCGACCTCCAGTGATTGGGAAATGGGCAGGGAGATGATGATGATTCATCTATATATACAGATAAATAAAATTGAGGTGTGTGTTTGTAATGTCATAATAATAGTGTTTTACTAAATGCATATGAAATTATATACGGTACTTATAAGTAAAATATATTTTTTTTAAATTTTGTTTGTCTGTCTGTCTGTTTGTTCCGAATAATCTCTGAAACGGCTGGACAGATTTTGACGAGATTTTCACTGGAAGATAGCTGATGTTATAGGGAGTAGCGAAGGCTACTTTTATTTTAGAAAAAGAATTAGGGTTCTGCTCAAAAAAAAATGTACCTGTATGTGTATATATGTTGTAATATATATGACGTACCAGACGCCAGCAAGAGGCGGAGGCGGGCGCGCCGCCGCTGGTGTCGGAGCTGCGCGCGCTGCGCCAGCGCAAGGACGAGCTGGAGGGGCACCTGTCCTCGCTGCAGGAGTCCCGCAAGCACCTCATGCACCAGCTCGAGGGACTCATGCGGATGCTCAAGGTCACCTATTCACTTTTTTTTAATTCTCGCTTTTCATAATTGTATATTTTAAAAGATGCTTTTGACATATAAGACAAAACTTGAGGGGTTTATTAGGAGCCACTGAAGAATTCTATTATCAGATCAGCTCCAAGATAATTATAGAGTTCAATTATATCGATACAATTAGAAGTAGGTTAAAATTGACTTTCAACGTATCAAACATTGTTAGTTACAACTGAAACTAATAAACAAAAAATCGTGTATTTTAAATAAAACTATCTTTTCGGATTATTTCGCGGAATTATTTTGATTTTTGGTTCCCGACTTTTCGAATGCTGTTGTCACGGGAGATTATTGATTTAAAATCAACAAATATTAGAGGATACCTTGGTGCCATTTTTGAATTTTTGAAATCATTTTTGTAAAATAGTGGGTAGGCCCTGTCTGTAACAAGTATATAACTCTTTTGAGACGTCTTTAACCTTATTCTCTCCCGTGACCATGATTGCTCTAAAGCACGACCATTAAACCATAATTATGTATTCGTGCATGATTAAATATTTGTACCTGTGTATATTCCTGTGCACACCAGACGCAGCAGTCCAGCCCGCGGTCGACGCCGAACTCCTCTCCGCGCTCCACCAAGAGCCCGCCGCTGCCGGGCGGCCAGCCGCAGCCCTCCGCGCCTGAAAGGTACCAACACACCCCACAATCTGTTTCCACCACACCCCACAATCAATTTATTTTTTACTAGCAGAATCTGCGGCTGCGATGGAAGCTAAAACTACAAAAAAAATCTCTAAAATGGTAGGTTTCATACAAACTTTCATCTGCTATTTTAAACCCATCCCCTCCCCCCGGGGATGAATTTCGGAAAATGCTAAAACACGTATTTAATTAATTGTATTGAAGAACATTAATACCAAGTTTTAAGTAATTCTGATCATAAATGGTTTTTTGGATTGTACTATAACGTGTTTTCCGAGAGTGAATGGCATACACACACACTTTAATGTTTTTTTTTTCTATAAATGAATATCTCGTCATCCCGCAGAGAGCCGGCCACGCGGGGCGCTGTTTATTATTGATTTGTTTTAATTTAATTGCGATATTTGCCAAAGAAGTTTCACTTCCACCGTGAGTGAATTGCATACACACAAACTTTTTTATTTTATTTTTTATTTATTTTTTATTTTATTTATTTTTATTTATTTATTCAGGTAAAAACAGTCGTAAACAAAAAATCTAAAACAGTAAGGATACAATTAGACCTATATTACCCTAAATTATTACAAATGAACTGATTTGTCATCAAAAGTGACGGATGCTAAATAAGTATGTTTACCAAAATAAGTGAAACTAATTAAATAAAAAAAATATTAAATAAAACTAAATTGAAGCTACTAAAAAAGAAACAAAAATACATATGTCTTATACAATATTTAGAAATAAATAAGTTTATACAAAATTTCCGAAAAACTAAAACATTGATTGGTTTGTACCTACTGGCAAAATATAGAAAGCAATTATAGTAATAGTAACAAATAAATTTTAATAATATTATCATAGTACAAACTATAAACAATAAAAGCCCATAGTTAGAATATTATACGAAATACTTGCTTTTTATACATACTTAGTTCACACGAAAAAATATCAACAACAGTTAAATTATTATTATAGAATGAACAAGAACGCCTGAGAAAGGTATTTTTTGCATACCTAGTATGATATGAAGGTATATGAAATGTATCTTTGGAACGAGAGGAAGAGGAGCGGGGAATTTTGAAAGAGATGAGGTTTAATAAATCTGTGGAGTTTACATAGTTATTAACAATTTTGTATAAGTATATGGTATCTAAATAATTACGCCTGGAGTGCAAAAGCTGCATATTATGTCTTGTCAAACTCTCCTCGTAGTCGGTATAATAAAAACCAGTACGATAGTCCAGAGACTTCACGAACTTCCGTTGCACTTTTTCAATTCTTTGGATATGTACCATATATTGAGGACTCCAGACAATACTTCCGAATTCGAGAATGCTTCTCACATACGCGTTATATAGTATTTTTAGTGTATTACCTCGAGTAAAAGGTTCGCTTAGACGGAGGATTAATCCTAAACGCTTAAAAGCTTTAGCTACAATTTTGTCAACATGAAGGTTAAAGTGCAGTTTGCAGTCTAGCGTGACACCAAGGTCACGAACTTCGGTTACTCTGTTCAGAGTATTTCCTAGTAATTTGTATTTATAAATATGGGGCTGATGTTTTCTAGAAAAAGTTATTACGCAGCATTTATCAACATTAAGGAACAAATGATTATTATTACAATATTGCTCAAATTGATATAAATCTTGCTGTAACTCAAGACAATCATCATCACAACGGACAATTTTATAAATCTTGGTATCATCAGCGTATAACAAATGATGAGAGTTTCTAATGCAAGAGTTCATATCATTTATATATAAAGTAAATAAAAACGGCCCTAAATGAGAGCCTTGAGGGATTCCAGACGAGATTTCCACAAAATTAGAGACATACCCCTTGAGTGCAACAGCTTGGCTACGGTTGTTTATATATGAACATACCCATCTAAGAAGATCGCCGTGTATACCAATTCTCGAAAGCTTCCTTATTAAAACAGAATGATTAATCTTATCGAATGCTTTCGAGAAGTCAGTATACACTGCATCAACCTGATGACCTACATCAAGAGCATTAAGCAAAAAGTCAGTGTACATCACAAGATTTGAATTTACACCACGACCACGATAAAATCCATGTTGTTCGGGAGCTATTACATGATACAAGTGAGAGGTAAGTATATTAGTTATAATTTTTTCAAAAATTTTACCAAAAATGTTTAACTTTGATATGGGTCTATATTGCTTTACGTCGTGTATATCACCCCCTTTAGGAATGGGGGTGATGATAGCTTTTTTCCATATACTCGGGAAACAGCCTTCAGTTATGGACTTATTGTAAATAATAGTAAGTGGAGTTGAAAGCTCTTTACAAAGTTTTTTTATTAAAACTGGGTGAATACCATCATGACCGGCACCTTTATTTACATTAACTTGCTCAAAGTGCTTTAAGACAACTTCACGTTGAATATCAACAGTCGATATATTAACTGAAGACATATTGACCTCGTCATCAACGGCAATGTGGCTGTTAATTGTGTCAGTTTGAGGGACAAAAACTGACTTAAAATATTCGTTAAACATGTTAGTGATTGTTTCTAGGTTATTGGAAGATACATTATTAAATTTCATTTCGGCAGGAATATTATTGGAGCCAAATTTAGATTTGACAAATGACCAAAAATATTTTGGGAAGGTTGAAATCTTATCTTCAGAGAAAATTATATATCGTTCGTAGCATTCACGTTCAACTCGTTTTTCTCGAGAACGTAAGGCAGAGTACAACTGATAATCTCGGTCATTTCGGTATTTTTTCCATTTAGAATGCTTATTCATTTTTTGTCGTATTAATTTTATAAGATTACGGGAGTACCAAGGAGGGTAATTAGAATGTGATTTAACAGGTTTTTTTGGAATATACACGTCGATTAAATTCTGTAAAATATTATAAAAGTAACTGACGGATTCTTCGGTATTTAAGGTGGCTAGATCAGCAATCCAATTGACTCACGATATTTCTTTGCCAATCGCTTTAAAATCTGCCGCATGATAAATTAGTTTGAGACGCGTTTTTACGTTTTGTATAAAAGCATGCGTTTGTAGATTGAGAGTTATATCTAAAGATTTATGATGCGCATCCTCTGGGGTTAACGGTGTGGTAGAATTGGACACAGTGCACTTATCGCTACTAAGTACTAAGTCTAAAACTCGTCCGTTGCTATTTACACAGCCATTGTATTGCCTAAAATTGGATAAATTCATAAAATCGCACAAGTCCCCCGCTAAGCCGTCGCTATTTGTACTTAGTTTAAATGATTGAGTCGAATCGTTAAAGCTATCCCAACTAGCGTTAGAAATATTGAAATCTCCAAGTATTAGAAAATTATCATTTAGATTATTTTGCAAAATGTCAAATGTGTTGTCGTAAAAGTTTTGTAAAGATTCAGAATGATTGTTACCGTGCGGGAAGTAACAGCAAGCTACATGCAAGTTAGAGGAAGCGTTAGCGGCGCGACAGGGTCGGGGCGCGGGGCGGGAGGGGCGCGCGGCCCCCACCGCAGCGGTCGTGGCGGCGTCAAGCTCGAGCGTCACCCATAGCTCCTCGGCGGCGGGCCTCGAGCGCCACTCGGGCTTTATTAATGAATATATCATCATCCCGTAGAGAGGCGGCCCCGCGCGGCGCCGTGCGCAGCGCGCCGCAGACGCCGTCCCTCGGCGAGCGCGAGCGCATCGACATGACGCACAGTTTAGGTGAGTGACTATTTATCATGTTCTTTATATTTGACCCCCTTAACTGCTTTGGTGGAGTAGTGGCTGGCTTCTGCGGCCGTATCCGGAGGACCTAGGTTCAAGTCCCGGGTCGGGCCAAGTTTAATTACTGAGCTTTTCTGTTATGATATTCTCAGTAACAGCTCGGAGTTGGGAAGTTGACGGTGTTGTACCCCCTTGCTTCGAAGAGCACACGTCAAGGCGGTCCTGCGCATTAACTCATACCGCGAGTGTCGAAGTATCGTCCTATCGGTCTTTGAGAGAAAAAGGAATAGAGAATGCCCCCTTGACACCTGGACTTTGATCTAGAGTCTAGATACTAGATTTTTTATTTTATTTTATTTATATTAATTACCTTTTTATTATATGTATGTATTTATTCGACTCCGTACTTCCGACCAGGGCTCGGAAACCCGTTCAATTTCTAAACCAGTTTTTGTCATTGACCGCAAACCGAAAGGCTTTTCGGTTATATTCTTTAACATATATTTAAAATCCGGAAAACGATTATTTAGGTTCCATGATCGAAAATCAACCAGTTAAATAAAATCTTTGCGTTTATATTTGGAGCATCTTTGCTAATATTGTTTCGCTTAGTAGAAAGATGTTATGTACATGTATGTTTATTTCGGTATCAAAACCTAAGCTTAGTCTTTCTCTAAGAATAACCGTTAACCATTATTGTTTCGATTTACTAAACCGTTCGATTTTATTAACCGGTTAATAAACGAGCGCTGAATTATTCAACACATTACCAAAATTAAACAAGGCTTAATAACTGTCTAAACATATAAATATATATTTTCTTTTCAAACGTCAGATATGATAAATTAATTAAAATCTAACAGTAAGAAGTTAATTTATTATACTGAAGATAGAATTTTTTATATTATATTATGTATGTCATCTAGATATTTTACTAATTGATGGTAAAATTTGAACCAGGTGCCATGGAAAGTATGGGAGATGGCAGAGGTTTCCATCAAAACCAACGACCTACTACAAGTAAGTGAAAAAATAACTAAAATAGTGAATTATTTTTATTAAAAAAAATTAACTGTACACTAGGTTAATGTAAATCTTTTTGAAAAAATTCGAATAATGAATTAAATATTGTTTTTTTTTTCAGTGGGCATAGACAACAGAAATCTACGAAGTGATCTGTTGTACGCCGCCGACTCCGTCACGAATGCCATGTCCACTTTAGTGCGGGAACTTAACTCTGGTGAGTATAAACTAGAATTTGCTCTACATAGAGATACATAGAGTAAATCAGCTAAAATATTGGTATTGTCGTTCGGAATGTTCCATAGACAAAAAGAGGCAGAAAATGGAAGCAACGTTGTTTCTCAATTTGACAAAAGCAACATAAAATAATTATTTTATTTTGATATATTGTACCTCTTGTTGTTTTCATGTAGTTCAAAGTCATTTGTCAACCAATGTTTTTGATAGTTACTGTATATTACAAATATTGCAAGCTCTCAGTTTGCCTGGTTAGGCAACACAAGCAAATTTTTAATTCTTTTAAGGTTTTAAAAGAATTAAAAATTTGCTTGTGTTAAGCTCCATTAAACTAAAAAGAGAGACAGACAGATAGACACAATAAAGTGATCCTATAAGGAATCGTTTTTTTACTTTTTTCTTTTGAGGTACGGAACCCTAAAAAAGGATTATTATTAATTATGTGAAAAGATTTATATTTTCAAAACTTGTGTCTATATAAATTTTTTTTTATTATATTTTAATTGCTCCTGTATAATTTTTTGTCTCTATAAACAAAATCTCTAGTTTTATCTCGTTTACTCTATGGAAACGATCTCTATGTTTTTTTTAATTATTTTTTCAATGTCTAGGCATCATGTCGGGATTTTTTAATAGTGGCTAGGTTTTTTGCATGATATATCTATTGTTTGTAATCATGGTTAGCACGTATTTATTGTCAACTTTTATGCATGACCTATCGACACATTTAGCGAATTCAAACCCCCGTAGGAGATATATATATATTTTTTCACATTAATCATAAACAAAATTTATAGTGTGAAATAAAAAAAATTAAATTGAAATACAGTATTTAATTAAAAAAGGACTTTTTTATACATAAAACCTAATTATATTGGATACTTATTTAAAAAAAATATCAAAATATATTTTATAGATTAAATTTAAAAGTAACTAATCATAAGGAAAAGTAAAAAATGCATATTACATATGTGTATATAAAATTATTACTTTTTTGGTAAAAAAAGGCGAAATATATAAGATATGTAAATGACTAAACTAGTCATTTACGTCATTGTCTGAAACAGAACAGAACTAGAAATTCGCGTGTCACTTTTACAAAAATGGTCATTACAATACATACACATTAGCCAGTGCTAAAATGGCCTAACACATTTTCTTCTAATACTTAGTAAATTTTAATTTTTATTTCAAAAGATCCTTTTTGTAAATAAAATATTTGATTTTATTTTTATATCGTGTCAAAGTTAGGCCATTTTAGTTCTGAGAATATCGTTTAGATGCCATTTACTGTGTGTTTAGTGGTTTTTATGTTACTAAATGTTTTACAGAGGGTTCAGACACGGAAGATACGGTCAAAGGCGGCATGGATAGAAAAAGACGAGGTGAGACCACATTTTAAAAATTTTCATTTAACGTTTCTCGGGGGATAGTCGTATCATTTGCAATGCACATACATTGTTTATTAGAAAGTAGATGTAGTTAAATATATTAATTTACCTTTGCTAATAGAATAGAAAAGGCTGGAAGTTAGGCAAAAAAAAACCTTTATCGTATTAATGTAAAAGATTCTCTTCATTTACTTTTAATATTATGATTAATAAAAAAAATCGTTTTAAATAATATTTAATAATTGAACACTTTTTTATATTGTATAAACACTATCTTCTAATAATTTCTATTAGAAAATATCTATGTTAATTTCTATACATACTATGTATTTATAGATAGTACCTTAAAAGTAAAAGTGATTTTTAAATATTTATGAAAGCTAGTTTTTTTTTTATATTTGCATGATCGTTATATTTGTTGCATGAACTATCTATACATTCTATATTTTATGTACTTATTTATTAATTTAAATTATACTAAAAATCTATCTTATTCTATTCTAAATATTTTTAAAATAAACATTGAATATGAATGAAATAATGAGAACTTTGAACGAAACAAAAAACATTGATATCTGTACAGCAGGGCCCAAACTCACTAAGTTGAGACCTGGGGTGGTATATTGTTAGTTGGTATGTTTGAACGTCATAATCTCAGGAAGTAATAGTCAAATTTCTAATTCTAAAAGGGCTAATAGTACCTAACATATATGTATAAGAAAACATCTGGAATTAAAGACATGTCTAAAATTAATCTTTAAACATGTTTAATCTCAAACAAGATGGGTGTGTGGAAATCGCAAAAGTGGTTGTTTTTTTTTAAAATTTAATACAAATGTGTACATAGTTGCACATAATAGCAGATACATATTTTTAGCAAAAGTTGTTTTCTTAAGATATTTCAAAAATGTTATTTGACTCCCTTACATAGTTTTCCCATATTATAAACTATAATGATAACCCAAATTTTAAAAAGTGACGATATAAAGCGTTTACTGAAATTAAATTAAAGAATCAAACAAAAACGTATGTGGAAACAGAGAAAGAACCTTTTTTTGTATAAGATTCCGTTTATAATTTATTTTTTTTTCAGATTTCGAAGAGGACGAGGACAGTGACGAGCCAATGCCTCGGCCGCAGCTCCCGAGACACTACATGCATGATAATAATGTACAGGTAAAGTGTTATAGACCTTATTATGTTAGCAGTAGGATTGCTTTTAGAATGGAATTTGTTCGTAATTTGTTTTTTTTATTTGTTTTAATTCGCACTTTTTGGTAATAAACATTTGTAATGAATTGGTAATGAACATATTTTGTGTTTGTTATTTTTTTTTGTGTCTATACACAAAAAAATAACAAACAAAAAAATATATGATATATCCATTTTTTTTAATTGTGATGTCAGAGAAGGTTTAGTTAAAAATGATTTTTTGTTTTTCTTTAATTAAAGTATTTAGTTTCATTTGATAGATAGATATTAGATTAAATGCACAAATAGTTTTAATTTGTCTATAATAAGACTAGCATCCTGTTCAATTTTTCACAAGCCGTAGCAGCTTGAATTGCACAAAAAATGAATTATTATTTTATTGTGAATAAAATCATTATTTTTATTCTGATTCTGAAAAGATGCTATTTAGAATAATTCAATTCAATTATCTTGTTAGTGGCTTCAAAGCTTGTCAGTTGAGCACAGATTGCTTCGCCAATGTCACGTACAATGGAGAGTGGAAAAGACAGAGGGATCGGTCGTATTTAGATTTAAAATGTCTAAAAGCGCAATCATAATGTTCAATTCAATTTATTTTTTTTGTTAATTAATGGCTTCAAAGAATCATAATGTTCTTCATCAAATAATTTTGGCATCAGTAGTTTTGTAAGTTACCTCCTACATTCATACACAATTTTTTTCTTATTTTCAAATTAGTGCTAATTTTGCCATGTTTTTTTTGCAATATTTATATTATTTTTATTTTTTTATGTATCACACATTATTTAGTAGTTATTTAATATTTTTTTTCCAGAGCTTACCACCTAGTGCTATAACGTCATGAATAGTAGTTTGAGGTTTGTTTGGTTTTGTTTTTATCTTTTTTTTTTACTTAAGTTATTTTGTTTATATACAGACATTTTTTTAATATTATTTTTATATTTTATATCCCTTCGTAACATGGTCATGACGTACATTTAAATTAAATATTTTAACAATTGTATCATTTTGCATGGTCTTATACATGTAAAATATATCTTATATTTATTTAAATATTAAATAAGACTTGATAAACTAACAAATATCCATACTAATATTATAAATGTGAAAGTAACTGTTTGATACCTTGTCATGCTCGAATCGCTGAATAGATTTCGATAAAATTTGGCAAAGACATAGATTGCATTCTAGACGGTCATAATCTTTTGATCCCCGCCACCCTTACCAGGTGAGCAAAGCCAAAAATATAGTTATAATATATTCCTCAAACAAAATCACAGGATATTGCCAGTGGTTTAATGTTACATTAATAACATTAAACATTAAAATAATATAAATAATACATACATATATTAAAAATAAATATTTTTACAGGACATTCCACCGCCGCTTCCAGCTCGTACGGGACATTATTTCCCACGCACATAGTTTAAATTATAACTCATTGTATACATACTCCTTATATATAAAAAAAAACGGGGTTTCTATACTTTATCCCCAAAAATGCAATTAAATAAAAAAAGTATAATTTTTTAATATTATTGTGAGCGTAATTAAAATTTTGAGCTAAAGTCTAGAAACCTCTACACATATTGTCATGTTAACTGTAACTGTACTGGTTCATAATCGAACCTTATCACAAAGACGTAAAGTTGGAATTTGACTGGAATTATAATTCAATTAGATCTTTATGTATCCTTTCATTAATATTTCTACAGATAATTATACGCATTTTTAGCATTAACAATTGATTTTAAGCTACCAAATACATTTCTTACTTAAAAAAATATAAAAAAATCTGGAAAAAAATAAATAATACAAAACAAAAACTAAAATAATAGAAATTACAATTTATTTGCATGTTACAAAATAGTATTCAATGAAAATGAATCTTTTTTGTTAAGGTATAAAAAAATAAATCTTTCGTAAATATAAAAATATGTAATAACAATAGCGTATACTATATTAGTATATTTATTATACTTCGGTCTTTTTGTACTGCGAATAGTTTAAAACGTTTTTATAGATATTCTATAATATTTAAGTGCTGTCTGTCATCGAGATACAATAATAGTCATTAGTTGGTTGGGCTACTTTTATACTAATTTTTCTACAAAAAAAAATTGGACGAATTGAGAACCTCCTCTTTTTTGGAAGTAGGTTGAACAATGTACACTATAGAATGGTTTTGTTTTAAAGAAAAGCTCCATAAAAATCGGTGTACAATAAGGCAGTAATTATTTAGTACCTCCAGAATTCATTTTCGAAGTCGATCAATATTTAAATTATTATTAAAAAAAATTACTCACTTTCCAGAAACGTCCACGTACATTCTTTTCAGAGATTCAATATAACTCGCGTCATCTAAAAAGAACGCTGGAAGAAAGTGGAGAGGGTATATTTGCGCATGGGTACACTCGCGCACAAAAGTACTAAGCCTATTATTTTATTTTTCATAGCATTTCGCTCGCGGCTTCATATATTAGTTATTGGTTGGGCAGTTAACTGCCTCCGTGGTGTAGTGGCTAGCATGTACGGCTGCACACCCGGAGGTCCTGGGTTCGAGTCCCGGGTCGGGCCAAGCTTAGTTATTGAGTCTTTCTGTATAAGTAAGGCTCAGTAACACCCCGGAGTTGGGAAGTTGGCGGTGTTTCACCCCCGTGCCTCGGAGAGCACGTAAAGCCGTCGGTCCTGCGCCTTAACTCTCACTGGTCGTGTCTCGTGTCGTCCCACCGGAGTATGAGAGTGACAGGAATAGAGAGTGCACGTTGTGTCTGCGCGTACACTTGTGCACTATAATATATCCTGCGCAGTTGGCTCTCAATGAGATTGGCCGCCGTGGCCGGAATCGGTCGGGAGAACATCATCATTGGTTGAGACATTGAAAAATATATTAGATAGAATATCATTAAATAGAATTCTATTCATTATTAAAATATGTTTGATTCAGTGCAGAATGTTTAATCTACTTACAAAAAATTAAATGAATACGTTTAATACATTTTTTTTATTATAAACTGCATTATTATTAGACTCTCTCTTTGTAAAACAATATACGTCAAAAACAATTTTTCTCTTTTCTATATATAAAACCATTTCGTAATTAAAAACTTTTGTGTGCGCGATAGATAGTATTTCGAACTGACGAACCAATAGCGCGCCGGCAAGCATGCGGCGCGTGCCCTGCCGCCCCGAGCCGCCCCGCGCCTCTCTTCTTACCACCAATTTGACCGATAAATCGCTTCTGCGCAGCTTGACAGCCAGCGTTCTTTTTAGATGACGCGAGTTATACCTATTGAATAAACTCACAAATTGTATCAGCTTTTTATATTATTATTTAGTATAGATGTAACTTTTTTCTAAATAATAATTTATAATTCAATTGAATTTTCTTAATAGCGTCAAAGCATGCGAAGTTGAACACAGATTACTTCGTAGAATGGAAAAGACTAATAATAATGCTATTTCTATATTAATACGACTGAATTATAAAAATGTCACATTTAATTTGATGACAAGACGGATGATTTATTAAAAAATTGAAAACGCAGTTCATAATATTGTAGAATATCTTTAAAAAAGTACGATTCCGTGTGAAATATTATATTCAAATATAATGGACAGACTGATTATAAACTAATTAATAATTGCTATTTATATCCATCACTACATTTTTCACCAAATGTGATTATTTTTTTATAAAAAAATATATAATTCATAATTAAAATATAATTCAGTTGTAAACATAATTTTCCTAACGGTACGTTTTGGCAAGAAAAACAAGATGGCGCCACTTTTATCAAAAATACTTTTATTGTTATATTTTTAATGTGGTGGCTTATTTTATTGATAGTTGTACAATACTTTTAAAGCCAATATTAAAATAAATTCTTGACTTGAAACACTTAAATAAAATAATTTTAACGAGAATAATAATAGTAATAGAATGTGTAACGTGAAATATATATTTTTAAATTTTAAGTATACATTTGGTTGTATGTGTCTAGTCTCAAGCTTTATGTTTAAACAAAGGCTCAAATAACTAGTTTTATTTGAATATGTCTCTGTCTCTTTTTTTCCTATTTCTATCCCCTTCTGTCTTCCATTCGTCAATTCCTTCCAAAATGTACAAAAATGTCAATTCATTCTTCCTTACCCATATCTCAGCCCTTCTTTTTAATACAAATAACAACCTATAAAGCATTTTAGTTAAAAATTACAAGAAATTTTTAAGTACTTATTTATGACTGAATATTTTACGATCCCAAAAATTATCTTTAATAATCACAACTATGAAATGACCTTTGAAAATCTAAATCCCGTATGCTTTTATTTTTTTAATTTAAAAACTTTCTAAAATCATGTCAGACACTGATTTTAATGTACTTAACATTAAATTTTAAGATTTATTTTGTTATCCTACTCGTAAGTATCTAAGAATAATTTGATTTCATTTGTTATATATATAATGAACGAAATATTTGCTATACATTTACAATAATATAGTTCTTCAACGCAAAAATGGCCTCACACATTGAATCGCAATGTTGCATACCATTTAATAAAATATTTTAAAACCCAATAATAAATAAAAATTGAATATATACAAATAACATAATGTTATTTATGCCGTCTTATGTTTTTTTTCATCAACATACGTATATTATATACATACCAGTAAATATGTACATATATTATTACAAAAAATTGTCTTAGATGAGGCCATTGTTGCAGTCGCAGCATATATATTTATTATATAATCATTATTTTAGTTTTAAGCTAAAAATTGCAATTTTTACAAATATCTGAATGTAACTTTTTTTTTATGTAACCACAGATAACTACTTAAATTCAAAGACTGACTATGACCATCACCATGTGATGCCAAAATTCGAACCAAATTATTTACCTTGGCAGCTAATTTTGCACCCAAAATATTTATTTTCTCTTGCAAATTAATCTCTTATACATCGTATCTTCGTTACGTCCAAAATTAATTTTAACGAATTTTTGTTAAAATTAAATTTTACATAATACTTAGTTATAAGAGTTTTTTTTCTTATTTTTTGTTGTTTTTTTCTAAGTTTAGATTTAGTTTAGAATTATTGATTATTGTATTGTACAAGTTATTGTGGCTTCTTGAAAGTACATTAAAATATTTTTATCAAATTTTGCTTGTACGAGAATTATGCTAAAATGGCAAATAATTTTATATTAATAAAAATGTGGTCTAATAATTTAAAATTATATTGTCATATATTACATAATATTATTTTTTTACATTTACTTCAGAAAGGTCACGGTAAATTTTCTAGTTAAGTTAAATATTTTTTTTTGTTTTTATTTTTTTATTATATACATCCATATTACTGATCATCATGTTAAATTTCTTGTACTTAAGAGCATTGCGTTAACGTATTTAGACTTTTGTTTATATATTTTTAGTTTTAAGGAAAGAAATTAAATTCATTCATAAACAAAGAAACCCTTAAAAATCAATGTCTAAAATATAAGTTACATTTAGTAAGATAAGATTTATAATAATCTCATTTTAAACATTAGGTTAGATGTTGGCATATCATTTGTTTTTAGATGACGTAAGTGCAATATTGATGGGAACGTCTTGCCGATGTGTGATGGTATACCATGGAATAATTTATTTTCTATAGATATTGATAATGTTTTAAAACGATTTAGATTCAACCCAAAGTGTATTATTATATTAGTATATTTATATGACGTACTTTATACACTTAAATTAACATTTTGACTAATTAAATCGATCCCCGTTTCCAACATCCCTATTCTTATCGTGCGTCGTATAATCCATACTATTTAGTATATAAGTATTGTACTTATTTTTAATTGTATACTTAAATCTCCATATTACAAGGTAAGTGTTAGATTTTATAACGATACCCCTCACAAAGACGTTTAACTGACCTATTCTAAATCCCTAATACATAAGTATATAGTGTTTTATACCATAGATTTCATATAACGTAGAGTAGGTGTACGTCTATTGTAGGAAGCACAAAGTAAACTCTGTTTCTATATTGTCATATATCGATTTTTTATGTGTTGTATACGTTAGGTCACGTCATTATATATATATATATATATAGTATATATATATATATATATATATAATATATATATATATATATATATATATATATATATATAACTATTTTATGCAGTGTTTTTGTATTTGTGTAAAAAATGCTTCGGACTGCGGCCAGTGAAAGGTTGTCTTGCTTTGTGCTTTTAAAGTGACAGTTGTCTATGGTCTTGACAGCTGTCAGACCTCTTGTTTCGTGTGTCAAAATGTCATTCCTAGCGTGAAAGTGTTGTGAGGTTGTGATTTCAACGAAAGGGTTGATAGGTTTCCAAATATATTATTTATTGTATATGAGATATTTAAATGTAACAAAGTGAGACTGTCTTTCGGGACGCGGCTTGTAACCAACATGTATAAAATGTAAGGACTGTCATTGCAATTGAAAACATTCCATTGCTTGTGAATTTTTTGTCTTTTATTTTATCCCTACAATACCATTTACTACCTTTAACATATATAAATAAAGTATCTGTGCGACGGAGCTTCGTTCTGCATTTTTTCGGGAAAGATATGACAATTGCCTTTTTTCAGAAAAGACATGTACCTAGTTAAAAAGCAAAACCTTATCTAAATATAAAATTTCATCCAAACCGTTAGGGCTGTTCCGAGATACACGAAATAATTTATATATATACGTATAAGAATCGCTCATTTAATATTATAAGATTTTACATTTCCCATGAAGATATCTTTGGAGTCGAATCCACAATCACGTGTGCAAATAGGATGATAGCAATTGTGCCAGTATTTTCGAAAAAGACTACTGTACTGTTTACATACTAATTTCATCACTGCTTAGACAGCAAAAGCTTGAGATACTTTTATGTCGATCAAGGCACAATTTATTCATCTAGCCCCAGTGACTACAAATTAATAATATTAGCACGAATTCGTCTTCTCTTTTATGTGAGATTGATTCTACCTTATTAATATTATCTGTCAAGCATTACACAATGCACATACTAAGTAGTACCGTGTGCGAGAACGTCAGACATAAGTACACACTACACAGAGTACGCAACTTAGCAAATAGCACCCGATGATTCTACCTTATTAATATTATCTGTCAAGCATTACACAATGCACATACTAAGTAGTACCGTGTGCGAGAACGTCAGACATAAGTACACACTACACAGAGTACGCAACTTAGCAAATAGCACCCGATGATTTACAGTTTGTTATTGTTAAGCAATTGTTGTTCGACTTTCCGGCGAAACTGTCGAAGATATAATTAGATAATGTGGGCCGATCCCGGCGGCACTGCAATGCCGGGCCGACCCGTGGCGGGAGTGGAGCGAGCCCCGAACATCCCGCCGAGTCACAAAAATCAGTTTAATATACTGGTCCCGCAGTGCGGGAACTTTCAGATATTAAGCTGAAAAGAACAGATACTACACTTTGATCTTAGCCAAAAGGCCGAGAAGCGATGCCCGAGCTGTCGCGGCTCTGCGTGGTCATTGTGCGCGCCTGAATCTAGACAGCGCGATGCAGAAAACGCGTATTTATGAACAGCGCCATCTAGTAGAAGTATCAAAAGACTTTTGAGCTTTCAATTTTCATATAATAATTTACAACGACATTTAAATACACGAGTAATAAATATAGAGCCCTGTTAAAAACAAATTATATATTAAGTTATTGAGTTACTTTCAAATTTTATGTTTAATAACTATTGTTGGCTTGTGAAGGAAACGAATAGGTAATAAAAATTATACCATCTTATATATAACTTTTTTATCTTTAAAGTGGCCTCTAGTAAATTTATCACCGGTATATTATTTTGTTTGACATTTTGGTTAATATTGAGTCGGTCCTTTCAGTTGGAATGGAATAGCTCGTGTTAGAGATACGCGTACCAGTGAGCGATCCAGCAACGCTGCACGGCGGCGATGAGTTCCGCTGTGGGTTTTAGCGAGTTAGTTGACATCCAAAAAAAAAATGCGTGCTCTGACTTTTGCAACCCCAAATGTAACTTTTCAATGGACCATATTATATTATACACCATAGTTAACATAATTTTCGTGAGCAGCTTTGATTTTATATTTCATTACATTCGCTATTATTATAACTTAATTATTTAATATTTAAGGATATTAAAAATGGTAAAAACTAAAAAACGATGCGCATATTACACTAATTTATATTTTATAACACAATATTTGAATAGGGTTTCAAAAAGCTAGCCGCCGCTCAGACAGCGACGACGCCCCACGCTCCCCGCCAAGGCGGAGAGTGAACGATCATCGAGGGCTGTCGGCCGAAGCCGCGCCCGCCTCACGCTCAGGGCGCCGCGCCACGTCTCATCCTCGCGGCTTGCACGATCACACCTGGTGTGTGGATCTCGTGAAGAGCTTACTATAGAAATGATCCTATGAAGTAAGGTCTTGTCGTGACTCACGCCTCTCGCTGGTGTCATTATGCGCGACGGAATCTAGCCAGCGCGATGTAGAAAGTGCGTCGCAAGGAACAGCGCCATCTACTTGACGCTATCATCTCTCATTATTACAGCGCCATCTAGACGAATAAGAGAGAATGATAATATCTCAGGTTCGCCTGTGTTTTATTAAAAGACCGTAGCATTATGTTAGAAAATATTTTAACTTCGGGTTTTTACCATTTCCGTTTTGTCTTGTTTAGCAATTGTTTACCTTTGTATTCTGTTCTTTGTAATGCTGACTATTTGTATCTAAGTTAATATTTAAAAGTTTATTATTTCTTGTAATTCTGTTCCCATGTACCATTACTGTAATTGTTTTATTTCTTTCTGTTTTGGGGATTCACTTGTTGTTGTTAAGTTAGCCGACACTGACCGCCGTAGTAGTCTTGATTTTTAGAAAGCTCCGATTTCTTGGGGAGTTCACTTGCGACCACGGTCCGGGTCGGTTCACTTACACCACTCTTTATATTAGTTGTTTTTGCTTAGTATACGTCATATACTCAGTCTACGAAGTTATCATTTACACTCCGCACAAACCCTACAGAGCGCCGACATTGGAGATGCAGTCGGTGGTAATGTCTAAATAAACAAATTTAATAACATATGTTGGGCTTTTTGATCCTTCAAGATCGAGAATGATCAAATAGTCTTCTTCAAGTCTAGTACTTTTTTATGTATATCTAGTCGGACTTATAATAACCAATTACCCAATTAAGGACATTCAATGTACTTGAGGATCAGTTATAGTGCTTTTTATATTTGGATAGTCAATTCATTATAATCTCTGTTTTTACGTAGCAAAATTACGTAACAAAACAAAAGTCAAATCAGACGTGCTTAGAATTTCTGTAGTTATAATAATAATTATCGCGTTTGAGTATATGGCTGGTTGGACTGCTACGATTATTATTGTGTTGCAGATAACATGCTTAAACAAAATATTTAGCAGTAAGTTACCATACGATAGGCTACCCGATTTTGGCCTTTCCTGCTAAACGCCAAAGATATAGTTGGATAATGTGGGCCGATTCCGGCGGCACTGCAATGCCGGGCCGACCCGTGGCGGGAGTGGAGCGAGCCCCGAACATCCCGCCGAGTCACAAAAATCAGTTAATATACTGGGCTTATTTGTTTAAAAAAAGAGACTTCCCCAGTGAAGAGGTAATAAAGTCAACAAACTATTAATTCTAATTGCTTAATATATATTATAATAATTTTATTGCCTTATTTGTTCTCTTAATCTTTTTTATTTATTTATTTACTTTTATAGCAGCTAAGGCAGCGCCATCTAGGAGAAGTATCAAAAGACTTTCGAGCTTGCTTTAGCTATTGTTGAAACGTTTCAATGTTTATTGGTCTGTTTTAATCCCTCCACGACCGCGGACACGCCGGTGTGTTAGTTAACAATACGTAATGAAATCTAAAATCAAAGCTGCTCACGAAAATTATGTTAACTATGGTGTATAATATAATATGGTCCATTGAAAAGTTACATTTGGGGTTGCAAAAGTCAGAGCACGCATTTTTTTTGGATGTCAACTAACTCGCTAAAACCCACAGCGGAACTCATCGCCGCCGTGCAGCGTTGCTGGATCGCTCACTGGTACGCGTATCTCTAACACGAGCTATTCCATTCCAACTGAAAGGACCGACTCAATATTAACCAAAATGTCAAACAAAATAATATACCGGTGATAAATTTACTAGAGGCCACTTTAAAGATAAAAAAGTTATATATAAGATGGTATAATTTTTATTACCTATTCGTTTCCTTCACAAGCCAACAATAGTTATTAAACATAAAATTTGAAAGTAACTCAATAACTTAATATATAATTTGTTTTTAATAGGGCTCTATATTTATTACTCGTGTATTTAAATGTCGTTGTAAATTATTGTATGAAAATTGAAAGCTCAAAAGTCTTTTGATACTTCTACTAGATGGCGCTGTCCATAAATACGCGTTTTCTGCATCGCGCTGTCTAGATTCCGGCGCGCACAATGACCACGCAGAGCCGCGACAGCTCGGGCATCGCTTCTCGGCCTTTTGGCTAAGATCAAAGTGTAGTATCTGTTCTTTTCAGCTTAATATCTGAAAGTTCCCGCACTGCGGGACCAGTAAATTAAACTGATTTTTGTGACTCGGCGGGATGTTCGGGGCTCGCTCCACTCCCGCCACGGGTCGGCCCGGCATTGCAGTGCCGCCGGGATCGGCCCATATTATCTAACTATATCTTCGACAGTTTCGCCGGAAAGTCGAACAACAATTGCTTAACAATAACAAATTGTAAATCATCGGGTGCTTTTTGCTAAGTTGCGTACTCTGTGTAGTGTGTACTTATGTCTGACGTTCTCGCACACGGTACTACTTAGTATGTGCATTGTGTGATGCTTGACAGATAATATTAATATGGTAGAATCATCGGGTGCTATTTGCTAAGTTGCGTACTCTGTGTAGTGTGTACTTATGTCTGACGTTCTCGCACACGGTACGGTACTACTTAGTATGTGCATTGTGTAATGCTTGACAGATAATATTAATATGGTAGAATCAATCTCACATAAAAGAGAAGACGAATTCGTGCTAATATGATTAATGTGTAGTCAGACACTGAGGCTAGATGATTAAATTGTGCCTAGATCGACATAAAAGTATCTCAAGCTTTTGCTGTCTAAGCAGTGATGAAATTAGTATGTAAACAGTACAGTAGTCTTTTTCGAAAATACAGGCACAATTGCTATCATCCTATTTGCACACGTCATTGTGGATTCGACTCCAAAGAGATCTTCATGGGAAATGTAAAATCTTATAATATTAAATGAGCGATTCTTATACGTATGTATATAAATTATTTCGTGTAACTTAAAACAGTATTTTCATTTATGATTATAATATATTTACTTGGTCTTGCACGGGGAACGAGTATATTTTAGCTTCCAGCTGTCGTTTCTTTGATATCTATAGAGAAAAACTGAAGATATCATCACCAACAGGTCTTTGTATTGCGGTAAGTGTATAAACATTTAAAAAAAAGAACAGATTTTAAGTATATACTGTTTTAAATAACACCAGTCTTCGCAGTATCGGATACTGACGCAATCAGCGCTGTATCACAAACATCAAAAGTATATTGTACATATTTTTCTTACAGTATATTTTTATGTCAAATAAAGAATTTGTTCATGGAATTCATTTTAATACTTATTCGATCTAAATAAACTTAATATTATACATTATATTTGAATATTTTTAAAATAAATAAATTATGAAGATAATTATCAAAATATCAATTATAATAAATATAAATTCTTTTTGTTTCATAAATAAAATGTCTAAAGTTTATATAAAATCACTCTGTCTGATAATAAAATATTACGTATGATATTATACGTAATATTTCTTAATGGCACAAATGCAATAATAACATTGTTTTTTTCAAACATAAATATGTATAGTTTGGAACTATAACACTTATTAAACCAACATTTTAATTATTTTTATAAAAAACATTAAACTAAACAAAATACAATTGTAATTGAAAAATACCTACTAAATAATTTTGCGATTATTAATTTATGTAGTATATTAATTGATTTGCATTGTTGATAACTAGATGGCGCTTTAAATCACGTTAAGGTTTGGTTGTAATCTCCATCAACCTAATAGCACATAATATCAGTGCCGGCCCTAGCTTTTAATCACGGTAGTAGAGATTTGCTTTCAGTGCAGTTGCTTTTAGTCAGCGCTTTCACTTGAAATAAATTGTACTTTGGCTTTACATCAAATAAATAATAATTACCAATTTTTTCAAAACAACTTGCATGATATATTCAATCGACAGAAATCTACAAACTTTTCATCATCACCCTACGAATTTTCAGAAAACTAACATAGCAACACTGCCCCGCGTCTTTCAAAAGGCATCATCAAAATTTATTTTTTTGCTGAAAATTATTTTTTGCATTTGATTTTTTTTGGCGCCACTTACTGCCTGGCGTCTAGAGCGACCTCTACTCTCGCTCTACTCCGGGTCCGGCGTTGCTATGATGTAAATTAACTCACTACAATGTATACGGTAAAGTGTGCAATAGGAAAGTAATACAAATATATAAAACGACGTATTTAAGCATTGTAATTTACAGAATGTCCATCTCCATAATGTTTTGTATTTAGATATAATTGTAGACATTCAGCATTTCTGAGCAGCGTAAAGCTCCATCCAGGGATTTATCATAAGGATCATACATATTTTGAGAGTTGAGAATTCAGAATGGAGTAGGGATATGCCCGGCGCTATTTTTAAAATAAAAGAGAGCCTCTATTCGTAGAAACTAGATGGCGCTAGTAGTACTTTACAACTCACTATAAGTCTATCTTAGCTAATTCTGTAGCTTGCGTTCTGAAAATAATGTTTGAGACATAAAAGAATAATAATAATAAAAGTATACTACACGCAAGATAATATTATTACAAATAGTTATTTTGTTAATTTAAATTTAATGTACATTTGTAAGATATTATATTTACCTTTTATACACTTTATTATTGGTCCATGAAAAAAATTGTTAGGCGGTACAATTAGTCAAAATCTAGATATTTTTTTATTTAAGTAACTGCTCACGCCATTTCAACTATTTTAGCCAATTAATTAAATCACGCTGTCAAAATATAACATAGAGCAATATAACATTTAGAATGGCTATTTGTTGACAAATATTATATATACAATGTGTTGCCTATTTGAACAATAGCCGACATACGTATGAAACATTCCGATTTTAGAATTTCAACATTAGCGATTCCTAATAAATTTTAACACTATCAAAACCTATATATGAGTATTCTGAAATACATTCACTCAATTTAATATATCTATCTACAGCCGCGTAACAATTGCTTCAGGGTCCTTTTCGCTCTTTTTGCTTCGAAAGTCCGAGTATATTTCTTCTATGGACCGTCTTTTCGTTTCGGGGACGCAGAATATGATATATGCAGTACTGACGATGCACACCGCAGCGAAGATCATGAAGATCAGATAGAGACCCACGCTGGTGGCCAGCGGGTGGAACACTCTCAGCTCGATAGACACTAACGCACAAGCAAACGCTATGACTATCGACGTTACTGTGCCACGGAACTGGAAATATTATATAAATATGTTATTTGAACATGCTTCATTTATATTATATAACTATTTAAATTCATTTATATTATATAACTATTTAAATTCATTTATATTATATAACTATTTAAATTCATTTATATTATATAACTACTTATTAATATAACTATGTAAATTTTATCAGTAAATCATCAAATTGATATTCAAAAATTCAAGATACACAAATAGCATCTCAAAAGTGTCCTCAAAAAGAAGTGCACAATTCGAAATTATGCACTTTTTTCAAATCTCTTTTGTTTATTGCTTTTCGGATGACAATATTTAAACGCACGTTGTTTATTCTTTGGTTTGACTTAACGTCACGTGTTAACGCCATTTTTTGAAGAGATATTTTTTAGAAAAAGTGTATCTACATATGTTTTTATGTTTTTTATTAATATAACTTTTTAAATTATTGCGTTCCATTATTGTATAATAATGACACTACGGGACGCTTGAATTCGGAAGGAGCAAAGTCGTTTACGTCAAGAATAAGGTATTTTGTTACTCAAGAATTCACGCGTTTAAGTCTCATAGTGGAGTGATTATTTATTAATCAATTTTCGGTTACTTCTAATTGTATCGATTTGAAACTTGGTATGTGTGTGACAATATAATTACTTGATATTATCGTACTTATTGGATTATAGAGTAGTGGAAAGTGGAACCCTTTATTTTCTTTTTATTAATAAATAACTTTAAATTTTACTAAGTTATCTGAATAGTACCTAACTAGGTAGTATTTATAGTATTAGGTTTAACTTTTCAATCATCAATTATTAAGACAGTATTAAAACAAAACCTTACCAAATTGAAAAATACATAGTGATTCAGTTAACTTATAATTACACTAGCGACTCACCCTCGCTTCGCTTAGGTTCGTCCCTAGCTTGCTTCCGAATACAAACTTTCATCCCCATTTTCACGCCCTTAAGGGATGATTTCTGGGATAAAAAGTATCTTATGTCCCTCCCAGGGCCACAAAGTATGTTCTTACCATATTTCATCTAAATTGGTTCAGTAGATCCAGAGATTACCCCCTACAACGTCACAAACTCACAAAATTACAAACTTGCAAACTTTACCTCTTTATAGATTAGTATTATCATCCTTTCATTTAAATTCCAAATCGTTAAATTAAAAACAATCATTAATCATTTTAAACGAACCTGGAAAGAGAACATTTCGGTCATAATTACGAACGGTACAGGCTGTAGTCCGGCGGCGTCGCAGTATATGCACAGACAGAGTGCCATCACTGGCAGCCACGCGTGCTCCCCCGAGCCTACCGCGAACCACGCGCCTAATGCGGTCAGAGCTATGCCAGACACGAAGCACGTTGAACCTAATAATGGCTGAAATATAATGGCTTAATAACATTCTTTTTTGTTAGTTAAAACAATGCTTGTTTTAAACGCGCCTATTGTAGGTACTAAATTGTGCAAAAATATGATTAGCCTTTAGTAATTTAAAATAAAGTAGTATATCTAACCTAATAGACGGACAAAGTGTTCTACTAGTATGTATTTGTAGTCCTTTTCAACACCACATTGCTGAGCACAGGCCTTCCCTCAAGGGGGATCGGACCATGATCTAACACGCAAACTAAATGCGTATTGGTGGACTTCTTTCGGACACAGGACCACAATATAAAATATTAACAAATTGTAAATTAACAATTGAAAACGATTCGCACGGGGAAATTCTTAAGGGTTTAAACCTACAACATTTAGTTTTCCACGCGAGCGCGTTCCCAATCTCAGGGTACTTTTTGTATATAACCTACCTTTCTTCCTGTCCTTTCCACTAAGCTTGAGGCAGTACAAGATCCAACTAACTGAACGGCCCCGAGCAGAGTGGCTTGCTGGTTAGGCGTCAAAACCCAGCCTCCACCCGCCTGCGCGAATATTGAAGATGCAAAGTGCAACACCGCGAGACAACCGCACAGTTCTCGTGCCAACGTTATGGTCAAAGTTATCCTGAAGGCTCTGAACGTGCAGGGATCTGATACTGCAATGAAAAAATTTACGAAGTTTATTCATAAGATTATTTAAAATGCTGATGTAAGAGCTGATGAATGTGAAAACCTAATATTGCTATTGTAGGCACAAATATGTACATATATAGGTATTTTTATACTTTTATTTTACGTTTTAACGTTTAGTATATATTTCTGAGACATTTTCCTGCATTAAAAAGTATACCATATGTTGACCCGGATAACCAGCTATCATCATACCAAATTTCATTAACACCAAATAAAAATAACAAAAAGTGAGACATTAAAAAGTGAACATAAATGCTAGTAAGCATTTTATTTTTATTTAAAATAGAATAAAATAATGACTTCGGTCAAGTTCGTCCCTAGGTACGTTTTAACGGCAAGTATGGAATTCATAGACTATATATTATATGATATATAAGCCTTTCATAAATAAATGGGCTAAGTAATGCAAAAATATTTTTTCTAATCGGATTAGTAGTCCCCGACATTAGCGCGTTCAACCAGTCGGTCGATCAATCTGTCGACTACTCGGTCGATCAATCTATAAAATTTTCGTTTAAAATATTTAACAAGCTCCACTACTTTTATTTTTTGCACATTTACTACTTCATCTTTTCAAAGTTACAGGAAGAGAGCACAAAGATACAATTCGCTGTATGTCAAAATCAGTCCAGTCGTTTCGGAGATTAGCCGGAACAAGCAGACAGACAGACAGAAAGAGAATTTAAAAATTGTGTTTTTCTTATAAGTACCATATATAATTAAAAAAGCTGACATTTGACATTACAAACAGACACTTGCAATTTTATTTATCTGTATAGATTGGTACGTCACGAATCTCTCCGTACATACCTACTAGAGTCTAGACAATTTCTTCTCGTTTTCGAATGTCATTAACACGTTTTGTAGTCAACCTTAACTTAACCTATAGAGTCCGCGTGGTGTATATTCATCTCTATTATATAATCGGCCGTTATAATAATAGCGAGCTTTTAGCATGCAATTTTGTTAAAAAAACATAGCTTAGGGAAAATCAAATAACAAAATATCGTTTGCTAATAAAATATTTGGTCAGTAAATTTGTGGATTGACATAATATGAATATTAAAATGGCAAACTGCTTTAAACCTTGTTTAAATAATATTTTTTCTAATTAAGTCTTTGTTGAGAGCCCGACAGCAGTATTTTATCAGAATTTACGGTAAAAAATGTTAATATATTATTAGCTTTAGTTTTTATTACGATAGATGTTTTGTTATTATGCACAGTGCATTGCCGTTCTATGTTATTAATAGTTCATATTTAATTAATTTAACACGGTTATTAAATTTAATCTTCCTATTAGTCGACTACTGCATTTACATAAAATAGTTTGTTGCAAAATGGTAGCAATTTATGTACAAAGTTTTACTATTGTGTAAAACCTTATTGATAATATTAATAATATTAATATATTATCTGTAGCCTTACGAAAAAAAATGAAGATAAATTATTGTTTCGTATGTTTCAAAATAAATGTAACGGACGTTTCTTATCATATTTACTTGTATGTTGTAAGTCATAAAGCTTCAATCTAACTTTAAATATTTTTTAAATTAATCGACTGAAAATATATTTATATTTAAATTTCAATTTTGGCTAGTGCAGAATATTTAATTAATTCTTCTAATAAAAAAACGTCATAGGTAAGAATTTCTTTCTAAAAGTGTTACCACCCTGCTCTAGTCTAATCATGCTCGTACTACATAAATATTTGTTATTCCAGCGAGTTGCGACTGGCAACGCTATTTATTTAACATTTGGGATTTGGGAATAATCTAAAACTATTTAGAACCATTTTTTTTTGAACTGTGTAAAAATAAAAGTAATAAAAAACTACGCTCGTGAGATAATTTAACAAATGAACCGTTCAATGTTCTACTGACTACAGATTATTAATATTTGTTTTTTTAACGGTTTATTTGCAAACGTCATTAAGATAAGCATTACCAGAGTACCAAATAGATCAAATTAGCGGACCGTTACCAGGGAGACCGGCTCGACCTGTCCGACAGTTATGTTTACCTGCAAATTGGTAAACCTTACTTCCGAACATATAGGGCCAGTGCATACAGACAGAGGTTGATCGTACATAAATACACAAAACTTAAGAGATATGATAGAAACAATATTGTTTAAAAACTTAAATTTTTATTAATTGTTATAATTTTTTTTATAAAAGTATAAAAAAAATATTAAAACATATTAAAATAAAAAACATATAAAACTTTTTTAGATTTACGCGATTTCGCATTTAAAATAAAACTTTTTTTTTGGATTTTATTTGGAGCTTGTAATTTTTTTTTTCCGACGTTTTTAATACACGATTTTACAGCGAACATATTTGCAGTAAAGCATTCTAAATGTAGGGAAAATAACAAAATCAAACCGCGAAAATATCCAAAAAGGTTTATTTAAAGCTAAAATACAGAAAAACGCCACTCCTAATAAAGCTCCCAGTCGGCATGATTTTTCCCGACATCTTCAACAAACATCGTAACATTTCAGCCAATTTACACGAAACCTTAATGAATTATACAACTAAACTTTCTCATGAAACACTCGACCTATTGGTGGAAATCGCATGAAAATCCTTTCGGTAGTTTTTGAATTTACCGTGTTCAGACTGACAGACGCAGCGGCAGACTTCATTTTATAATATGTAGTGATTTACAAATATTTATTAATTACAAAAGTATACTAAAAATTAATTCATTATTTACAAAAATATTGTCTATTATACACAAATAAAGTTAATATATTTTGAAATCAATCGTACCTATATGATTTAGTGTGTAACAGATCTTTAGTATAGAATTGCCGTAGACAACTTGTTACCCCGGGAAGTATTGTTTGACCACTTCAAGTCCCGTTACTAGCAATGTTTGCTTTGTACTTGTTCTCTAGCCAGTATTGGAAACAAAGGGCTATAAAGGAAAAGTTACGTGTTATTTAACAAGGTACAAAATATTCTGGTTTGTTGGTTACTCGTTGACTTTTGTTTTAACTAGCTTTTAGTATTTTTATATTTTTGTGCTACTAAAAGTAGTCTTTTTCTAGAAAAAGTATAATAGCCTTCTTTAATATTATTCTACTTAACTCCTCCAGGTAACAAATTTCTAAGAAATTAATTGAATTTCTAAGAAATTCATTGTTAACTGTAACACCGGTGTGCCCGCGGTCGTTGAGGGATTAATGATTTATTATTGTTTCGGGATCGAAGTTAAAATTGATATCTTTTTAGTTATTACATACACGAGAGTCAATTTGAGCAGTTTACGTACAATCGCTGTATATGCACAGACCACAGTGTTGGTTCAATTTAATCTCTGAGTATTATTTTTTAGCGCAGTTTCACTTTCACGACTACCTTTACTTAATTTTTAACTTCTTCATATAACTCCAAACTTGACGGAGGAACAAACGGATACTGCTTGACCGATATGAGATGATGATATTGTTCTATTACACACTTATAGGAGAGATTGATTTTAAGTTCATTTCCGTTTCTTGTAATTTTAAGGGTTTTTTTCTTTAAGACGGTTTTTTTGCTAAACAGCACTTTTGGCCTAAGGGCCTGTGAACGCCAGACCTTCGTCATTTTATAAAAGCTGAAAGTTAGTCAGCGCATGCTCCCAACACAGATAAGAACGATGGACCATTATGAAGTTCAGGCTATGGTGGCTTTGGCAGGTACACGGTACTAAAGGTGTGTCAAATACCGATCTAAATTCGTCAAATAATAAAGTGTGATTTTTTGGTATTACCTTCAGAATATTATTAAAAATCACGTCATTCAATGCCAGACACTTAACATCGTGGTAAACCCTTGCCAGACACCCTTTTCATGAAATCATAATTCTACTTACGTTATAGTATAAAAGCTAATTTTTATATATAATACTTGGGTAATAATTAGATGATTTATAAGACTGCTAGCATAGCATTTATTACACACCATCAAAAATAAAGTTAATTCTTAGCGCTTCAAATTTGGTGACCATTTGCAACATTTTCTTAGAAATGCCTCCCAACTTGTTTGGAAAAGATTTTTTTAGTATATAAATGAAGGCGTCAAAAGTTATAGAGACTTAAAGTTACAATATTCCCATACCCTATTGATATTTGCTGTCATTATGACACTTGCAATTCTTCTTAATAATGTCCGAAACCTATTATTTTCGAGTCGAAACTGTCACCAAATTTAAAATAACAAAGCACTTATTATATTAGGGGTTCTGGATTTGAAAAAAAAGACCTAACGAGAAGGCTATAAGTTTTATAAGTTGTTAAAATATAAAAGTTACATATTACTTTATCTTATGATATTTTTAAAGTTAAAAGTAAAAAGACATACCTAGAGTTTTTAATGTCGTGAAGAAATTTCCATTTGTGTTTTGTTCCAATTCAACCAGTAGTGACTGCAGCTCAGAGTCCACAGCCATGTCGCTGGTTTGTCTACAACGTAACCAGGCTAACGCTGAACGCGCCTCCTGTGAAATTTCATTGTATGTAGAGGTCATTTGAAATTTGCAGTGACATTTAAATTATTGTAACAAAATTACCGAATATACAAAGATCAAGAAATGTTATACATATATGAAGTATGTTTGGAATTGAGGTATATATGGGTGTATAAAAAATTAGACAAATTAGGACTTTATTTAAATTCTATTTGTATAGGTATATCATGGTGCATCACTCTCGAACGATAACATTTGTTTAAACGCAGTGTACAGCTAATTGTTTAAAATAAAAGCAACGAAAGTTTTACTTAAATTGCATTATTACATTTAAAAAATAACATATATGTTTATTGTGTGTATCTTATTTCAATATAGTTGCTTAGTATATATGTTCCCTATGGACTCTTATAACGGCTGGAGCGATTTTAATGAAATTTTCAGGCACTCTTCAGATTAGCCCAACGGGTGATTCTGTGGATTAGTAGTGATCGGAAGTTTAATCGCGGGCGAAGCCACGTTTACTGTTAGTAGTCTATAAAGTACAATCATATTAAATCAAATATAACCAGATCGGAGTTCCAGAGACTACCGCGTTCAAACAAATATTTACAATTATGCAGTAATTACAAGGGAACATAAAATCGGACATACATACATACATGCTGGTAAAACATATAACTCTCCTTTGGGCTTCGCCGTAGTCGGGTAAAAAGTATTATCTTTAGTAGTCTGATATTAGTAAAGTTAGACCATAGTTTGAAAACGGAGTGCTACGTTGCTACAGTTTAACATTTGTACTTACTTGTAGTTCTACGGACGTAGGTTGTAAATCAATCGTAAATTAAAATTAAAAAATTAATTTACACCGAAACTTATTATTTTATTATATAACGAATAACGACATTTACGAAACAGAAGGTCAATTTAATTAACATGTTTTTACTACTAATTTTTTGTGATGATAATAATGGACGATGAAATATAATATTTCCAAATAAAATAAATAGGAGTTTTAAAGTATGATATTATTCTCATTAGTTAAAAAAATAGTATGGATTAAATTTTTATTTTCCATACTAGCATTGCCGGCGGCTCCGCCCGCGTTCAGATGACCAAAAACCAAATTCTTAGGTTTTACATATTAGAATACTCTTACAATGCAGTTTTTATATTTTTTCTCAGAAATGAGATATTTCTCGAGGTAAAAAGTATCCTATATGTTGACCCGGATAACCAGCTATCACCATACCAAATTTCATCAAAATCCCTCGAGTGGTTTTTCTGTGATGCGGTAACAGACAGACAGACAAAAATTCTAAAAACTATAGATTTGGCCCCTGTATCGATAATAATATCTATTTCAATAAGATTTTCCAAAAAATATTGAATGTACAGACTCTGCTTAGTTACAATTTTATTGTATGCCTAGATTTCCCGTAGTCCCTATGCATTATCCGGAGGCCATCTTTGGGCAAATAATAATAATGAATTTGTTAATAAAACTCGTATACTCACTTCAACTTTACCACTCTTCAGCAAAAACGAAGGAGTTTCCGGCATCGCTGGGAACAATAGCAAGTGTATCAAAGGCACCGCCAAACAAATCCAAAGAGTCGCTTGGTAACATAAATATTCCCCTAATATATACACTAAGAGATTGCCCAGATTTTGTGATAGCACTACTAGGCTTCCTAAAGTGCCTCGTATAGAATCTTCGCTTATTTCCTTTATATACAATGGAGTCACGACGTAGGAACCACTCACACCCAGGCCAATTATAGCTCGAGCAGTTATAAGCGCCCACGTTTCAGTAGAATATAATTTCAAGCCCCAGCAAATCTGTAAATAATAAACTGTTATATATTGTTTAATTTATATAATAAATAAATATATAATGAATACAATAATTAATTAAATACACAAATCCTATAAATACATAAATAAATCATTCATTCGAGATAATTGGTATTTTGTATGACGTAATCGTTTAAAATCTTTTAAATATATAAGATTTTTATTTAAACGAAATGAATATTTTTCTATTACCAAAAAATACTCTAATTAAAAATTACTTTAATTTAACTTACTGCCATAGAAAAGGATGTGAGCATCAATGCTAACTTCCGCCCATAATTATCTACTATATATCCAAATAGGAAAACTGCTGGTGTTCCAACTAGATAAGCAGCGGATGCCATCCAGGATATGACTTCTGGGTGCACTGGCTTAGCAGCTGGTGTGTCTTCGGACATAAGACGAGGGCCCATCGGTGACAGCCATCCTATGCCCATGCCGTAGGAAAAAACTGGTAGGACCACTGTAAAGAGATACTACTTTAATATTTTATTTTTTGATCTATGAAATGCTATATTTAAAACAAAAATAACTAACAACAAAAACAAACCTACAAACTACAAAAACAAACCTATCCCACGGGAACTGCACATTTTTTCAGGATAAAAAGTAGCCTTCCAGACTATAATCTATCTCTGTGCTTAATTTCATTCAGATTCGTTTAGCCGTTCTGGCGTGAAAGAGTAACAAACATCCATACTCACAAACTTTCACATTTATAATATTAATACGGATTCTGTATTAAAACGTTACGTATTTTAGACGTGTATTATGTACTTTATCTGCTGCTAGGTTAAAAGCTCAGGCAATTAGGACATACAACAAACTTTTAAAATAACTTTTTATTCTGAAAAAAGGATTATTGCAGAATAAAAATAGTTGAGCATCCTCATTGAATTTAATAGGACTTTAAGCGGGGAATAAATAACCACAGGGTTATGGGGTTAGTAGTGTACATCTTCATCACAGACTTTCATTGAACAATCGCTGAAGAACTTCGAAAGATTGTATTGAAATGACAAACATCGTTAGGCTTTACAATATTCGCATAATATTCATAACTAGCATTGCCCGCGGCTTCGTCTGCGTTAGGATGACCAAAAACCATATTCTTAGGTTTTACATATTAGTATACTCTAACATTGCATTTTTTGTATTTTTTCTCAGAAATGAAATATTTTCCCGCGGGAAAAAGTATCGTATATATTAACCCGGATAACCAGCTATCACCATACCAAATTTCATCAAAATCCCGTTTTTCTTGTTGCGGTAACAGACAGACAGACAAAAATTCTTAAAACTATAGATTCGGCCTCTTTATCGATAATAATGTTTATTTCAATAAGATTTTCCAAAAAATATTTAATGTATAGATTCGGATTAGTTACAATTTCAATTCCCATAATTATATCATAGATGCCGAATCCAATATTTTTTTAGATTTCTATTCTTAAACTGCTTGCATCTTGGATATCTTGTCTAAGACGTCTGGCTGCTTTTTATTCTTGGAAAGAAGGGATTTTGTTAAAAGTTTTTTTTTATTAAAATACTATATACGTATGTAATATGCTTTTTGACGGATTGTAGTAATGGCTAGTTGAGAATAAGTTAATGAAAACAAGTTGGTAGGTATAGAGTTCAGATCAGAGCGAGTATCTAATTATTATTATTGCACAATTTTAATGAATAATACAAGCTCTTACGTAATGTGTTTATTTGTCCCATCTATTTGCGGGACAATAATTAATTTGATCAGCAGCAATCGTTCTGAACATTTGATATCTACATATGTATTAAAATGTCAATGAATCAACGTCTTATGTATCATCCACGTGTTTAGTACATACTATGTAAATTTTGTGGTTATGTAATGATATTTAATTAATAAATATACTGACACTTATACCACAGTCTACTAATCCATACAGTCGTCTAACGAAGGCGAGTGTGTGGGGCGAGCGTGTGAGATACAATTGACGCGATACCAACTTTCATACTTAAAGAAATTCGGGAAACGGCTTTAGGATTGACGTGTATAACTGTAACTTGTGATGAGATGGCACAGCTACAGCGCTTTAACTCCAAAATCGTTCAAAATTCAAAATATTTTATTTAGCATTAAATTATTACAATTTTTTGCTGAACGTCATGAGTCTACTATTCGCCATTGAAATTTGTATTTTTGACAACCTTTGCCTACCTACTTAGTACCCACAGACATTGGTTATATTGTCTGTGTTAGTACCTAATGTATGGATGTTATAACGTGCATTCATTTGATTTTCAATCTTTGTGCATATAGATAAAAGTTCAGTAAAATAATTAATAATTTAACTGTTTGAATATTTGTGAATACTCGTCATAGTCGAACATCATTTAATCATAAGAACTGTCAAATAGAATAGATATTATATAAAAACTTTTTAACAAAAAAATAAAAACCGACTTCAAACAAAAGCACTAAAAAGTAAAAAATAACTGATTGGTAGTTTTCATTTACTATACATACCTAATCAAATATTTTCGAAGTCGGTGTGCTTTGGCTAAGTAATTAAAGCCTACCTATTAAATACATACCTAATCAAATATTTTCGAAATCGGTGCCAGCCCATACAAAGCAAGCAAAGCAAGCAACAAAGCAAAGTTATTTTTTACTTTTTAGTGCTTTTGTTTGAAATCGGTTTTTATTTTTTTGTTAAAAAGTTTTTATTTTTCCCTTTTTAGTGTAGACAGTAGTAGCAAAGGATTCTAACGTGTTAGGCTTGTCAAATCAAACAAAATAAGCCCAAACTCAAAGTATCTACTATTAGCCGTTGAAGAGTTCCACCTATCCACCTTCTGGCCTTGCCATCAGATCAGGTCAACAACACCGAACCACTGTACTATCAACGGAAATAGAAATACTTGCAAAGTTTCAAGTCAATATGACAATTAGAAGTAGGTTAAATTCATCATTAGTTGTTTTTCCACCCTTAGGGGTGGTATCTTTTTTTTTGAAATTTAAATGGGACCAATCTGAAAGTATACCCTTTCAAACAAAACAAAAATTGTCCAAATCGGTTAATAAATGACGGAGTTCTGAGGTAACAAACATACAGTCGAATTGAGAACCTCCTCCTTTTTGAAGTCGGTTGAAAATGAGCCTATATTAATATAGCATTATTAATATAGGCTCATTATATACTAGCGACTCACCCTCGTTTCGCTCGGGTTCGTCCCTAGCTTGATTCCCCATACAAATTTTCATTCCCATTTTCACCCTCTTAAGGGATGATTTTCGGGATAAAAAGTATCCTATGCCCTTCCCAGGGTCTCAAACTAACTCTTCTTAACAAATTTCATGTAAATCGCTTCAGTAGATCCAGAGATTACCCCCTACAACGACACAAACTTACAAACTTTACCTCTTTATAATATTAGTATATTTATCCATCCGTCTGACAACTTTAAAGGACTATACCTGTGGAGCCATAATGGGTAGACAACGTATATTCTCACAGAATATACAGATATTACTATACCGTATACCCGTTTATCTTTATTTCCCGATGCGTCCAGACGTTTCGAATGCTTAGCTATACAGCAATCAAAATCGGAAAAAGTAATAAGTATTATTCAAAAATGTCAAATATTCGCATAAATCTAAGAAAGTTTTATATAATTACGATCATTAGTAGTTCAGATAATGTTTAAAAATGATTTAGAATTTTTGAAATCTGTGACGCCTATATAATGGTCCATTGAGACCTCTAAACCCTTAGTCTCCCGTGGCCATAATTGCTGTAAAGCATTTGAAACGTCGGAAACCAAAAATCAAAATAAATCCACTAAGACATCTATAAAGTAGTTTTATTTTAATAAACAGTTATGTCTATGAAATAAATAAATGCGATATTTCCTGCAAATTAATTAAAAAGATATTTATAGAATATATAAAAGTGACCTTTATCTTCTTTTGCATTTTTGCCATAGTTACTTGAATAATATATAAAGCATTAACATACCTATATTTTAAATTTAAATGAGATATTTTAACAAAAAAAATGTCACAATAAACATCAATTAATGAGATCATAATATCTTAGAAAAAAGTCCATCTGGACATATTGTACGGTTGATCTTTATGCATTATATCTTTTATCTTGATTAAATAATTATTATATCATAAATACAACGATCGCAAGTCTCGTTGAAACTAAAGGACTACAAAAGACACGTGTGAATGCATAAGCACCATTCTTCTTCTTCCATACTCCAGGTGAAAGGATTCCACACGATTAAAGACAGATTAGATTCATTCGTAACCTAGGCTACCACTGAATATTTTTAATTAAAAAAAACACTATTCTTAAAAGACTAAAAATTAAATTGCAAATTAAAAACCGACTGCGTAAAAAGTGAACTAAAAAGATTGATGAAGAGATGAGAGATTGATGAACTAAGAAGACAACAAGTTGACGGAGGAACATAGTATTATGCAGTCGGTGACATAATAATGTATTTATTTTATTACTAGCGACTCACCCTCGCTTCGCTCGGGTTCGTTAGCTTGATTCCCCATACAAACTTTAACCCCCTTAAGGGATGATTTCCAAAATAAAAAGTATCCTATGTCCTTTCCAGGGTCTTAAGCTATCTTCTTACCAAATTTCATTTAAATCGGTTCAGTAGATCCAGAGATTACTCCTTACAAAGTCACAAACTCACAATTCACAAACTTTACCTCGTTATAATATTAGTATAGATTACTGCAAGTTTTGTCTACGCGTAACGGTGTATGTACGTACAATGTAGTGTACATACATGCAGGTCAAACACATTACCCTATTTGGTCTTCGCCACACTGGAATAAAAAGGCAAATGCAGTTAATAGGTAATAGTTTTAACATTCCGGCCCAATTCTAAAAGTTATTAAAAGTTTAAATTAAAATAACTTTCTTAAGATGATAAATATTAACAAGGTTTATTAATAAAAAATACTTATACCTACTGCGATATTTGCGATACATACTCATAACTGTAGGTTCGTTAATGAAGAAATTGTTGAACGTTCATTAGCGACAAGTGTTTAGCGACACGACGACAAACAATTCAATTGTCTTTATTATTCCTTCGAATCGATACCCACATCATGTTTTTTTAGATTTATCTGGTAAATTATAAAATTAATTATTTTACTCTCTTTTCTCCGCGTACAGATAATTCCGGCCGATTTTTCTCAGCAGAACTGCGGTCCAAGCAGGTGGTAGCTCCCGTAAAGCCGTGAGCTTTATATTTTGTTGTATTCAGCCCTTTTTTTAACCTCGTTTTATCATTTTTGCCTTGTACATAAGAATTAAAAAGAGATAGGTAAACTTAATTAATTAACACAAACTTTTGATTCTTAATCTGATGTATGATAAAATATTATTATTATTATTTTTTAATCAAATGCGTGAGATATTGCAAGAGCAAAGCTATGGC